GGTCTAATGTATAAACATTATTTTCAAAAGTGTTGTTCCTCAGGGCAGAGAATCGATTTTTAATTTGTTTTTGCAAATCCCGCCAGATAACTTTCATGGCAGGATTGCGTGTTCTTTGATATTGTCTCCTACGGATATTTTTAAGACGGATCAAGAGCTTAAGATCGTCGTCTATTATAATTGAATCGAATTTAACCTCGCATTTTGGTACTGAGGCAGCTCTTGCTTCAACTATAGAAATAGTCAGAGATTCAAGTATGCTCTTAATTTCTTCTTTGGTTTGCAAAGGTATGTTTGGATCAAAGCTATATTCCATAAATGTTCGATATTGCTCCCAATCAGCTCTATGGTAATTGAAAGTAGAGCTGTTGGGATTAGAACTGGAAGGTGATCAGAACCGAAGTCAGCATGGGTAACCAATTGTCTACAAAGTTGACATGAATCAGTTAAGACCAAATCAATAGTTAGGGATTTCTTGCTGAAGAAAAATACGTTGGGCTATTTGGATATTGAATAGTGCAACCTGCAGAACAATCATCAAACAGAATATTACCATTGGAATTGCTTTGAGCATTATTCCATGAGCGGTGTTTTGCATTAAAATCACCAATAATGAAGACGTTCGGTCTCAACAAACCTTCCTCCTTTCATTTCCCTATGCCACAGGTGGACGTCGTATATACGGATCTCATGGTTGCTTTCGACCGGGTTGATCATGCCATTCTACTTGCCGAACTCGAGAAGCTCGGGTACCTATCAAGGACTCACTCGTTGGTTTGAATCGTATCTTACCAATCGATTGCAATCGAGAGCTTTGTGTAAAAATCGGATCTGATAAATCAGAATATTTTCCAAACAACTCAGGCGTTCATCAAGGCAGCAATTTGGGATCGCTGCTATATTCATTAACGAAATTGCTTAGATACTCCCAACTGGTTGCCGGTCATTCTATGCAGACGATTGCTTTCGGTTGCAGCATAGTTTCGAAGACTGGTGCTCTAGAATTTTTTCACGTTGAGTGTTCAAAAATGCAATATCATCACTTTCCATCGCAAGCTAAATCCTATTCCATTCAATTATACGATCGATAACCATCCTCTGCAGCGTGCAGACAACGTTCGTGATCTAGGAATTACCCTTGATTCTGCTTTTGACATTTAAGCTACATTACACGGATATCGTAGGATCTAACAGGCAACTCGGATTCGATCTCTGATGAGTTTCGGGATTCTACCTGCCTGATAGCGCTATATTGTTCTCTAGTGCGATCGATCTTGGAATTTGGTGTAGTAGTATGGTGTCCGTATGAAACAATTTGGATAGCTCGGTCCTGTCTGTTCAAGGGAAAATCGTTCGTTACGCTCTTCGACACCTTCCTTGGAATGATTCAATCCTACGAAGATCTTTGCCAACTTCTGGTTATTGAAACTCTTGAACGTAGGAGAAAGATTAACCAGATAGTTTTTACAGCAAAAGTACTGATAAGTGAAATCCACTCTCCCGGGATTTTTGGTCAATTCGAAATCTATGCACCTGGACGAGTTCTACGATCGAGGAGTTTCCTGCCTTTCGGACCCAGAGCAGCTAATTACGAATTACATGATCCAATACGGTTCATGTCTGCACTTTTCAAAGAACTCTATGCATTTTTCGACTTCAACTGCACAGCGGAAACCTTTCTTCACAGGATTCAACGTAATCTGCTGGATAGGTTACGATACGGTTCGACACATGCAACTGCTTTCAATCAGCAAATTGTTGCAAGACGGTGAGTAGCTGTCCATTTGATGTACATCAGATGAATTTGGCTACCTATATCTTCAAGAAATCTACGATTGCGATTCATGAAACATTGCCAGAGCTCATTTGAAATCTATATTCGGTAAAACTATCCTCATAATAAATCTTTTGAATGTGTCTCAAACCCCAATTGTTGCACACTTCATTTGCATTGAAATTCTATTGTTGCACACCCATAGCATATGGCTAAATGCATCTTAGAATGCAACTTTTTAGCAAGAAGAATCCTGCACTCGTTTTGATAGATTATTGAACGTAACCTTTTGTACTCACGATATCAATTATTTTATTTATTGTATTAAAACGGTCAACCATGGGAGTAAAATATACGCAGCAGCTGTTCTATATGAACCGTTGCATACCTTTAGGCGTTATCCCCATAGAAATAGTCCAGGTCCAAGTGTCTAAATACGATCCAATTGAACATTAATGTTTATCTTTGAAATTTTACATGGTTGCTGGATGTATTGCAGTACATCGTTAGATTCAAGAATAATGAACATTTTTCTTTACAGATTACTTAAGTTAATTGAATGTTAAGCTAGTAATAGCGTAGCACCTGAAGAAGATTATTAGTTGAAAAATAAAGAAATCGCCTAAAATCATATGTAAATGCCAACATTATTTAAAACAAGTTTAAACACAATATTTCCAATACTAAATACAAAAAAATAATTGATCAATCTCTTATTAGAGACATATATTGGTGTTTTGAAGCTTGTTTCGCAATGAACTTAGCTTTATGTTTGAGGTACAGTAACAGATAAAGACTCACGTTCATAGGTACTTTCATGTAATTTAAACTTATCTACGGAACGTGAACACCAAGTCTTTCGGTTTAAATGTAGGCATGTATTCACTCACCTGACTCTCAACTAATGGAAACCGCTAAACAGCCCGAGTTGCAATCTAAAAGAAAGTTATGTTATCAACTGATATTTTATATTACAAAATAACCCAATACGATTCCACAGTAACTAACCTTTTCAGGATTCGCAACATCATTTCAACGGTTCTGGTTCCGATTCCGGTTCCAGTAAATGGTCGTTCATTACACATCACCCACTTCCTTCCACAATCTTGTTTATACCAAGGACAAACCGGATCAATGTTTTCCTCTTCCGATGCTCGAATGCCATGGCTGATGTTTGGCAATTTGGCATCTCAAATTCACAAGAAAAATACCTACAAGTTGTAGGCTACAACCTGATCACAGAACGATTCACGATTTTAATGCAGAACCAAATAAGTTCAAGAAAGTTTGTTTTGTCCTTTTTGTTTTGGTTGCGGTTTTCATATTCTTCGTTGTCTTGTTTCGCATCGCACGCGGAAGCTGCTTAGTCAAGACGCACTATCGGCTATTCACTGCCACCTAGTGGAGGAAATTGTGGCAAAGCTTTCAGTGGATTCATATCTGAAACGAAAATACATGCGCAAGCTGTAGTGTGACTTTTTTATAAATAATATTTGATGAAAATATATATAAGCAACTTCTAGCGTATACAGAATCATCTTTATCGACTTTCTTTTTGAATTACTACCACCCCTATTCTGTATTTCGTTTCGAGCGAAATTCTCATACAAAAAAAATTTTTTTTTGTGTGAGAATTTCGTTTGAAACGAAATACAGAATAGGGGTGTACAGTTTCGTGAACGAATTTTTAAGATTTTTTTCAGTATAGTGCATTACAAGGTTGTATTTGCTAGCAAAAGCAACAGCAAATGCATCGAGAAATCAAGCCAAACAATGCATAAGGTGCTACGTAGCATTGATCGATTATCTTCGCCGATTTAAAACCAATGAAAGACATTTCCGGCTTTTTTCAACGCAGCTCGATAAAGAAGCTTATCTGGCATACGAAAAACATGATAGGAAACTTTTTGGTAGTTATTTTTCAATCAATTTCACACAATCTCTTAACCGACACTAACGTGAAAAAATATTGTCAATTGATATATAAAGAAATAAATGTCAAAGATGAACAGCAACTAGCCCTAACCACTTGAAATGTAATAACAAATGTAACATCATAATTAAAGGAAATAAATTCTGAAAACGTAGAGGAATTAACGGAAGCGAAAGTCGATGAAGTAGGGTTCAATCCCAAAATATGCCGTTGAGATTTTTCTGAGACGAAAAAATCTCTGGTCACGTCTTCCTTTGGAAGGGAAGTAAAGCCGTTGATTGCGACCCACGTGTTGATGGGTTCCAGGTGTGGAAGTCGTCTCCATGGCTATCGATTGCAGTGTTGCAGTCAGCGATTAATTGCCAATTGACAATCGACGCTTGTCAGTTTTAGCAAAAATAGTTTTTATAGCAAAAAGCCTTTCGATTTCATTCTAATGCATTTCTACAACTACCTGTCATTTAATTTGATCGATCCTCTTTAGGCTACCTTTTTCATTAATAATTCGGCACCAAAAACATTCCCTGCCGCGTTTGTCGTTTAAGGTGCTATATAATTCCTTATTTTAACTGGGTCCCATGGCCCATAAGGATTGCATTCAACATGGGACAGTTATGCGTATAATTGCAGATATGGTATCAAGATAGGGTTAGCTTATTTTCAGGCAAACGTTAGTTTGATCATTTGCTTTTGTAACCTACCTCAGGTCGAAAGTTCGATCTGACAAAAAGTTTGGTTCCAACCCGGATCAAACGCAAATTTGCTATTACAGCATAAAAGTGTGTAAATAATGCTATGTTACCATTTTAAATCGCAGTTTGAAAATATAGACGTTTTTGCTATCAGGATGGACTATATTTTCTTTCGGCTATTCTAAATAATGTATTCTACACGCAGATAAATGATTTTTAAATTCAAATGGATATATTTTTGGCTCAGGGCCTAATATATTTGTGGTATTGATTCAAATATATTATTCGGTTAATTCATAGAAAAATATTTTTGAATCAACAAACCGGTTGTAGAGTCAATATTCTGTTTGTTGATTCTAAAAATGGTGATTCAAAAATATGTTTTGTTAAAATAATGATACAATATGTTTGAATCAATAACAAAATACATTAGGCCCTGAAACAAAAATTCATTTTTCAGCGTGTACGCAGATGCTCTTAGCGATTCACAATTTTCCCCATTTTCTCTACTGCCGTTATGTGCATAACTGATGAACCGTGAGATGCCTGTGCGTATAACGACTGACACAATAAATAACAAAGTCATTACGATTCGCCGTATTCTTTATTCCAACTACTTACAACGCATAGCATTAAAACCCTCATTCTTTTTAGCCCGTGTTCTGCCTGCAGGTCGTTCAGTTATTTCCCGACAAAAATTTCGACAGGAAATCGGTTGGCTTGGGCTCCTCGCTTTCCTTCCAGTAGCGCATGATGTGTCCCTTCTGCTTCCAGATCGAAACAGACTCCTTCAGCTCCATTTGGCCCTACGAGTAGTGTATGGTCAGTTCCCTCAGTGCATTTTCTGTCGCGATTTTTAATCATGACAATTTTGAAACGCTCTATGAGCCATTCCTAGATCTACTCAAATAAGTCTATCACGTTAATGCAAGTGGATTTTTTTTTAATGTTATTAAATTATTAAAACAATTGCCAACTTCAAATAATAAATATGTTTAAATCATAGTAGGAACACTTACCTTAATCACAAGCATATCGATCACCCGAATGTCCGTCACATTCTTGTGCTTGAGGAATTCCTCCCGAAGTTTATCGCGGCACTGTTCCACCGATTTGGGAATATCGTAGTCCATCACTGAAAACAAACAAAACTCATTTACCCACGGCTATACAACAGCTTCCAACCTATACCGACGACCCGTGCTATGACATAACACACTTGCAATGAGAACCACTTACCAATGTAGGGAACCTGGCGGTACCAGGCCTTGTACAGATTGAGCACACGTTTCCGGGCTTCCTCCCGATCTACGGACAGAATCGGCCGGACATTCTGTACGGCCCGGCGAACGGCTTCACGGCTGGCCATATTTTCTTCGATTCGTGTCTCGTTCAGAGGGGAACTTTTTGCACACACAAAAATGAGCTAAAAGCGAGCGCGGAGCGACCAGATGTTTTGACACAATCTCGTCTGCTGTCAAGCGTTGAGGGATGTTCAAATAAGAAGCGATGAATTTCGATACTTTTAAATGGAACTCACTCGGGAACTCACCGAATCTCTCTTTTGAAGCTTGCTGCTTGCTCAAACATCATTCGTTTGTTGGTAAATAAACTAAAGATATTTTTTGCAAGTTGTGATCTCTTCAGAAATCGATTGTTGTTCATTAGTTATATTGGTTATTAGTTTAACTATAATTTACGCGTAATAATCAGGTAAGCAAATATGTTCATAGTTTATTTAAAATGTATTCCTTATAAATGATTCATCGTCCAAAACAGAAATCGCATTAATCTCGCAGACACGATCTAACAGCAGTTTAAAAAGTTAGGGAATAGTGGGGCAGTTCCGCCATATAAAAATGGGGAGATATTGCCACATTTTTCGTATGAACGCTTGTATGACTTGGTTCCATAATGTTAGGTCCTGATCATTCTCCCAAAATTTGAGCTCATTTGGTTGCGATCTCATACTGCATCGATTTTCAACCTGGGGTTCGCGAAACCCACAAAAGCGAAAAGCACATGAACCCTCATAAATGCGAACCATTACGTGACCTTACCAACAATGGTTAAAAATTGTTTATAATCCCTGCTAATTTTTAACTGAAATGGTTATGGAACTTTACATGAATATTTGTGTGATAAAGTTTTAGCCTTATGTATTAAGGTTTTTTGGAAGTGAACCTTACAAAGAATGGGTTGTTAAGAGCCATTACAATTCTAAAAAAAATTACATACATATTTGAGAAAGGTATTATATTGGAACCATTTTATTCATGATTTGAGAACTTCAATGGTAATGGTTATGGTAGTCGGTAAGGTTTATAGATGGTTTTGTAACATCGATCAACTTTATTTTTTGAATATATCTCGAATTGGTTGCCTGTAAATTACTGATTACCAATTCGCGATATATTCCACGTAAAGTTGACCGATAATACAAACCCATTAATGAACCTTACTGGCTACTATAACCATAATAATATTAGAGTTCTCAAACCATAAGTAAAAAGATTCTACTACAGTCCTCTCTCCAAAAATGTATGGAGAAAACAACTATTTTGAATGGTAATGGTTCTTAACAACCCATTATTTGTAAGGTTCACATCCAAAGAACCATAATACATAAGGTTAAAACTTTATCACATAAACGTTCATGTAAAGTTCCATAACCATTTCAGTTAAAGTTTAGCAGGGATTATAAACAATTTTTAACAATTTTCGGTAAGGTAAAGTTATGGTTCGAGTTTATGCTGGAAAAGAAGAGATGTAGAGCCAGCTTGACCGCACGGAAGGACAACGCGAGGGACAACGTTGAGAATCAATATCATACTGCACTGGCCCTTAGAAGTTTATATAATATTTCCTCAGTGTAGGAATGGTGAACTCCTCATCCTAACCTTTCACCATAATGATTGATGGATTAGCTATCTGTGCTTAAAGAATTTTTTCAGTTACATATGTTTACCGATCGTTTACTAAGGTGTTCAAACTACCCCGAAGGGATGCTCATTTTACCCCAACTCAACTCTTTCGGTTACCTACAAAAAGAACTTTTTTTAATGTTTTATCATAAAAGTTAAAAGTACCTATACATTTGATATTGCATCTAAATACATGATGGGGCTTATAACCAGTTGATTGGAAATCATTCGAATTTTTCGCTGAAATTGGCATCATAAGTGATGATTTTCTTAGGATTCAAAATCTTGGTCTTTGCATTTTTTTTATTATAGTCACTTTAACGGTACTACTTTCCGTCATCAAATCCCACAGATGTCGCACAGAATCCAATTAGAAGTACACATGAAATTTATGAGTCAAATTAATAGTATGTGTGGTGGCTTTTATGTTTATGTGTGTATGGCAACTGCCCCCCTAGACTCAGCAAAACTAAGGCTTCGAGGAAATGGCGTTCGGTGAAATGGCATTCGGCCAAATTTTCCATGCTTATTTTTTTTTGCCCCTCCCTAACTCGAAACCTAGCTAAGCTCTTGGTTTTAATTAACAGTGAATTTTACCATACGCAGGTTGGTTATTCACCAGCCCATACGGTTGAAGGCGGCTCGCCCTCTGGTGGTGAATGCACCCTATTGAAATGCAATATTGCAATTGATCAATTTAGATCAGGCCTGCCCAACCTTTCAAAACTTGCTTTTTCAAATGGTTGCACGTGTATCTATTTTCGATGAACATGTTTCAAGCTGCATTTTGTTTCTTTCTCATTCATGTTGGGCTGAAATTTATAATGATGAATAAAATTAGACTAGAATGATGCTATTGCTGAGATCCAGAGAAAAAGTCCGGACGCGAGCCGCACGTTGGGCAGCGGTGATTTAGATGAACCCACCACAGCATGCTTTTGGCGCTACTGTATATGGACGATCAAATGTAAAATACTGTGGTAGCCACCAGGGCTGAACATATTCATTGTGTGTGTATTCCCTCGAACCCCCACTGGCCGGCAGTGCTATTTTGGAAGAACTCTCTCTACAATATCTCATGTATGGTCATTGTAGACAGCTTTAGTCCGGGAGTTAGAAGGTGATAGCTCTATTGCAGATCCAGCAACCCATTTCAGAATATCTGGAGACTCACGCCCATTCCGAGGTTACTTTCACTCACAATAAGCCCCGCATGTATGCATCACCGTTATCAAATGGATATTGGTTATATATACACTTCCAGGTTCGAAATTTTTTTTATGAAACCTGGCATGTATTTAGTATAATTTTGATATTTATTTTTTTTTTATAATTGGAAAGCTCTCACCATATTCTGCTCTTCCATCGTCGTTAATTGATTCTTTTGGAATCTCTTGTACTTTTTCTCTAACGGTTCGTATTTCATTCCGTGCTTCACCGGCAGTTTCCTTTCGTAGATCGTCCTTGGTTGGTTCTAATATGATTCCGCTTTTTTTTTTGTCGGTTTCATGTCCACCATCTGTCATTGAATTGCCATGGTGATCTGGGACGAGGCTCACGTCCAAAGTCGCTGGTCCACTGAGCGCTCCCGTTTGCGAAAAGAGAATGAAAGAAATACGAAAGGAAGTGACAGTTTCATCAGATTCCCCAACTAACCAACCACACTCAAGCAAAGTAAGAATATACAAGCTATATTGAACATTTATCATTGTAAACCCTACCGCCATCTGTCGTATATACTTCGATGGGCAATAGACGGTTGTAGTCAAGGTTGCAAATACTCATTTTAGCTAAAATAATGTTTTTCGGAATAATAAAACCAAAAGATGGTATGCTGACATGTTCTTGTAACTTACAAGAAGAGGTTACACTTTGAAGGTTGCGTTTGAAACATAAAACCTGTAAATTTTGCTTTCTGCTAGTCACAATCAGCGATTTGCTGATCGCTGAGTGAGTGAGTGAGTGTGTGAAAAATCGCTGCTTGTGACTCTCATGAAGTGAAATAAACAGGTTTGATATGTCAAACACATTCTTTGCAACATCTTCTTGTATCTTACCTATACAAAATATGTTCATAGCATCTAATTATTTCATAATTAAAAAAAAACATTGTTTTAGCTGAAATGAGTATTTGCAACCTTGGTTGTAGTGTGTAAACGTCAAACGCTAGGGAATTGATTATGTGCACCACAAGTGGCGGTAACTTAGAGGTAACTCTAAGACAAGAAGGTCCCGAAGAAACGAGCTCAACTTTTGGGCTCAGCTCTGGTACTATCTTCGGTCCCAAGCTAATCGATTCACCCCTCGAAACATAGTCAATTTTCTTGGGACCAATAGGCTAGTCAAGTAGTGAGCCAATTTAAAATCGTTAGTTTCGTATTGATTGTTGGTACTACCAACTAAGAAATATTTAAATTGACTGTTAAAAACGATTTCGATTAACGTTTTAAGAGAGTTTTAACGTGCTCAACTTTTTGGCTCAGCTCTTTTACTATCTTCGGTTCCAAGCTAATCGATTCACCCCTCGAACAAACATTGTGTAGTACTAGAATTTTGACTAGAATGGGGTACGTTAATCGATTTGCTTGGAACCAATAGGCTAGTCAAGTAGTGAGCCAATTTAAAATCGTTAGTTTCCACCGGTTGGTGTTATGTCTGCTTGTCTGCGACCATACCTTCACTATCGCAACTTCGGGTAATCTGCGAAAGTACTTGTAATTTTCTCAGGCACTTTTGATCTAACTGCAATTACTCTCTCATACCCGAAATGTGCCACGACCAAATTGGCACAACGACGCTCTATACGCTCTCTGACCGAAGCGCAAGGCACCAGGCTGAACTTATTCATTACTAAAATACTACTTTTCGAAATTATGAAAGCATGAGGTATTATAATAATAATTTGTATATGTAAAATGCAAGTAGAGGAGGTAAAGTTGGTGTATGACACATAAAATCTGCCAATCTCGCTTTCAGAGTGTCACACGCTGACGCTAACATTAACGCTAAATCGGATTTGTTTCTTAATATGAGAAATTCGGTTGAAGGAACGAGTACTTAAAAGCAATAATATTCGAGTTTTAGGAAAGACGTGTTGATGGGAAATCTATAACAAATCCTTCGCAAGAGTAGTTGTTATTGTCGTCAGTGAGGTCACCGCCGGGATCGAAATCTAGTAGCAGCAAGTCGAAATCTAGTCGTTTTTATTTTTGCGAAATGAGGAGCTCGGTGGCCTTGTGTCGATCGATTTTGCTTGTGGGTTCAACCCCAAGCTCCTTTATATTATAGAGTTATAATTTAAATCGGCATCAAATTCAATTGAAGGGACGAGTATCTGAAAGAGGTAATATTTGAGTTTTAGAAAAGACGTGTTGATCGGAAATCCATGTAAAATCCTTTTTTCAAGAGCAGTTGTTGTCGTCGTCGTCGGGATCAAAACCTAGTAGCAATAAGTTAAACGGTAACTTGATCGTAGTAGTTTTGTGATATGGGGAGCTCGGTCGCCGATTTTGCTTACTGAGCAGGAGACCGTGGGTTCAAACCCAAGCTCCTTCGCAAAATAGAATCGTTAGGACACCAATTCAGCATATCGTTTACAAAAAGAAACCTGCTGCAAGCCCCCCCCCCCCCTTGAAAGTGCAGAGGTGTTCTCGGGTTTCATTAAAGCGAGTATTACGTCAACATATTCCTACCCATTCCTTTCTCGACCAGCATTCGGACGTGGCCGGCGCTGGTATTTACTGCTAGTCCCAAGCAACGTCTATTGGTTCTCTGTGTAATTACAGTTGATCTGGCAGTAACGGAGTTGCATCCTCAGGCGGTCAATCATGCTTATGCTCATGCTCATAATGCATACTTCCATATACCTCGTACGGAAGTTAATCTAAAACAACAATAAACATAATAAATTGCTATTATTTGTTTCATATTCCACCATCAATATTGATTTATGATAATTATCTACTGCCCCTAGAGAAGATGAAACCGAAGAAATCATTCGCTGGTATCACCTCCTTGCAAAAGTGCATTATCCCGCCCTGTCAAAATCGCTGCGGATACCCGAAGCAAGCGATTTCGTTTTTCACTGTCCCTCCAACGGCCAATAAGGTGTACACTAAATGGAGCAATATCGTCAATTTGTCCGGAAAGCGAACAGAGAAAATATGCGAAGAACACTTCCGGGACTGTGATTTTATCAAATGTGAGTCGGAAAGGCGCAGCTCTTTATTCCTTAAATTTGGGAACGGCAGATAAAACGAAAAAAAAAATCCTTTATCTTTACAGTCGAACGGGTTAAACTCAATGCCAACGCAGTACCCAGCCTCCGCATTCCCGCCTATTGCCTTCAGAAAATTCTTTTCTACTACAATGGGCTGTGCTGTGTTAAAGACTGCTCGGCACGAAGTCGCAAGGGTTTGGCACGTTTTCCACGTAAGCCGGTCCTCGTGCGAAAATGGAAGGAAGTCTTCGGGCTGGAAGAGCACGTGAATACCGCAAAGCTGTTCGTTTGTCCCCGTCACTTTGCGGAAAAGGATTTTTTCAAAGGTATTTGAATATTGGACTTTGAAGTGAATGTAACAATAATGTCTCGTTACGTGCTATTTCAGCGTCGTCAATGTATCTGAAAACAAACGCTGTTCCATCGAAGAAGTTAACTGACCAAGTCAGACCGCCGAAGCAAGATCCCATAGCGCAAATCGCGGATCATAACTACATATGCCGTATGTATTTATATATGACATGTGTTTTCTCTTTCTCGAGTCAAGTTTCTAACCCCTCGAGAAATCCTTACTTTATTTATGGATATTTATGAGCCTAGCATGAAATTTGCTTTTATATTTAATAGAGTTTTTATTTTCTGAGAAACTTCGTTATCGAGATTTCGATGAAACCTGCTCGTAGTAGGTTGACCCCTATTGCTATTGTTGCTAAAGATCAATTTCTGCATCCTATCAGTATTATCGATAGTTAGAGTAATATGAAAACAAAAAAAAGATTGAATCAAACTTTGTTCTTCTTGCAGCTCCCGCAGAGATGCCTCGCGGCTGTTTCATTTCCGGATGTCGTACGCACAAGGACTATTATGAACGAGGTGTGGCCATGTTCTCGTACCCTCGGGACCCTGACCTGATAATAGCCTGGAACATAGCATGTTCACGGGAGCAAGGCTTCCGGCCACCCCGATATGCGTGCGTCTGTGAGAAGCACTTCAATCCCAGTGAGATTCACGAAAAGCTCTCCGGGCGGTGCAAGCTGCAGAGAGGTGCCGTTCCTACTCGCTTTCTCGATGGCTGGAAACGGGGAGATACAGACGCGATGCTAGATAGGAACGACGACTTTGGCGATGATCATTTGATGCCGACAGTGAACGAAGAACTGAATCCAAAAAATGAACACGAACCACCGAACGTTGAAGAGGTGTTCATCAGCGAAGGGAACATTAAGGATACTATCTCGGAAGTAGTATCCATAGTGGCAGACATGTTCTGTCGTATGTGTGGCATTAAACACGAGAAGGACAATAACTACAGCTTCAAAGACCTACGAAGCGATCACAAGGCGGATGCTTTGATAAACGTCTGCCTCATGGATTGCGAAGGATTGGAGGCAGCAGAAGCGATATGTCCAAACTGTTACCATGAAGTCTGCACAATCCTAGATTTCCTTCAAAAGTGTCACGAAGGACAGCAAAGATTGTTGGAACAGCTGAGTGAGCAAACCCAAATTGCTATACCCGAACCACCTCAAGACGATCTAGGGGACATCTCAGATCCCAGCGAAGGTAAGTCGGACGGAGAGGAAGACAATGAAGCAAAGCTATCCGATGGGGAAGACGATGATACGGAGGAGATGAAAAATTGTCGTATGGATCGATACATTGATAGGCTGATTGCTAAACTCAAATCTGGAGGAAGAAAATCTCGCACGTTGATAAAAAACTGGGAATGCCTAGACTGTCGGGAAGTGTTTCAGCATCGAACTCATCTGACGAAACATCGTCACACGTGTCCGCTGGTCGGTAGCAAACTTTCTAAACGGCGTGGACCGTTTGTCTGCGAGCTGTGCGATAAAGTGCTGAACACTTTACCGGGCTATCGATACCATCTGATGAAGATGCACGACAAAGAGAAGATCAGTAGCGGCGGCGACGTTGTAGATGAGGCTCCGAAGGAATTGCAAATGCTGAAATCTAACAAGATCTTGGCTTGTCCTATATGTACGCATACTTTCCGAACTGCCGGTGAGTTACGGTACCATCTGCCCAGCCACAAGAGTACCAACCAGGACAAATCTAGAACTTTGACACGTGATCTTGGCAGCGGCGAACCAATCAGGACGGTTGGCCAGTACATGTGCAGCTTTTGCGGTAAGATGGAACGAAGCAATGCAGCCCTGGAGACACACATGAAGTTCCACCTGAAGCAAAAGGATTGGCCATGTGATCAATGTGATAAGCAGTATTACACTAAGGTTTGGGCAGATTTTGTTTTTGTTTTAATATGATTTGTTCAGTTAACTAATTGCCATTTCCCAACAACCAACAGGCGGATCTGAAGCAACACGTAATGATAGCTCATGACAAAATAACCTACACCTGTCAGGACTGCGGTACAGTGCTCAGCTCGAAAGCCACATTCACTCGGCACAAACGACTGCACAACGAGTCACTGCTGAAGAGGTGCACGTATTGTCCGAAGAAATTCACCACCGCCAACGCTCTGAACAAGCATGTCCACAGTCGACACCAGGGTTTGCAAAGACCTCGGCTGCATGAAATCGAGCTGCCGGAGAAGCTTGACGAGACTGAGGAAGAACAGGACACTCAATGGGAAGAACTGGGTGATGACCGAGATGGCGATGCGTTTGAGGAGATTATTGAAGAAGTCATAATGAGCGAGGGGTTATTGGATTTGGAGCCAAAGGAAGAGATCAAGGAGGATGAATATCTCTTCTATGAAGAAGATGCCGAGGAAGATGCATTTGTGTAAGATGAGGAAAATAAAATAGAATGATTTTTTCTGGAATTGGTAAAGTTAATTTTATTCACTCTGAAAAATCTTCACGTCCGATTTACGTGAAACATCACGTAACTGATTAGTATTTGGAAAACTTCAAATGTTACGTGACGTTAGTAACTTTGACCTGCAATACACTTCATGCTCACTCAAATTGTTGGTAAAATCGACCGTATAATATTCACGTAAACCGAATGAGTGTGTTTGCAACTTTAAAATTTCCACGAAACGTGATTTAAGTGATTTTCAGGTATGCAAATAAAAAGCAATATGGCGTCAACGAGTCGCAATTCCAATTCTTTAAACCAATTTATTGCCGTAAATAAGGCCCTTAATCGCGATTGAGAGATGTTTGGGTCTTCCAAACCCGTTTATCTCCGCCTAATTCGCGATTTGAGAGGTTTTTTTTGGATTTCTAAACTTTTTAAATCTATCAAAATCTGTAAGCAAGCGCAAGACGGGAATTTGGTAGTACATCGCAGCAGAAGAAGACACAAAAGCTCATGGTAGCGGAGCCTCAACTATGAATTTAAAGCAGTCGACAGCAATTTAAGTTGGTTCGACGACGGTCCTATTTACCATTGGGGGATGCTCAGTTTAAGTAGGTACATGAGAGAGTGACAGATCGGATTAGCTTCACCTTAGAATGAGTCTACTCATGTGGCAATTTCTTTCATAAAATAGCTGACTCGTTGACGTACAGTTAAGTCATTAGGTAGCTCTATTGTTCAAACAAACCTTTCCGATATCAAGTAGGTAGATGACCACAGAAATCGTGTATAAATCACGTAACGCAAAATTTTGGAGAACGTCTATAAACACATGGTCCTGCAATGTTTAATTCCTTTCCAATCAGTTCTGAACAGAAGCGATTCTTCCTGGAGGGCACACATTCGTTGTGCATGACGGTTCGCTTGGTGTTGCATACCTATACTGCAACAATTTGGTGATGAGTGTTGAAAAGCACGCAATTTATTTTCCCAGTTGAAGACTGATGCTTTCTTGGGCCGAGCAGGCCCACTTCATAGAAGCACTGGATAGAGATGGCTTACAGGTTGGCAGATGGAAAACGGGTTCTTAAGGAAATTAAGGTTACGGCATAGATTATCAAAATCGACTACATAATTCTGTTTTATATAAGCCATGGACTGCCACAACCATCGAAGCATTACGTAATTTATGGACGACATCCCATAGGATTTTCTTAAACCATATTATCATCTAAGAAGCATTTCGATCGTTTGCCTGTGCTATTGCCTTCTTGCGGTTAGCAGCCACGGCCCTTTCGGCCTCCCTTTCCGCTGGGTGTGCCTGTTTGATGTGGTGCCGCATATGCGAATCATACATAAAGTCCTTCTCGCAGTAGTTGCACTTGAAGTTTCGTTCCCGCGTGTGCACCACATAGTGAGCCTTCAGCTGGTTTATAAATGTAAACTTCAAATCGCACTGATCACACTGTACTTCCTTGAAATGAAGTCTCACGTGGCTGATGATCGTGTTAATGATCCCGGTGGCGGTCTTTCCGCACAAATTGCACGTAAAATGCTTGACACCGTCTGGGGTGTAGGAAACGGTATAGTGACTGGTCCAGTTCTTTTTCGGCTTGTAGTTGACATTTTTCTGGTGGACTCTTTTGTGGGTTCTTAGATTTGCTGCGGTGTAAAATTTCAGCGGACACAGATCGCAACCGTAGTTTTTCTCCTCATTGTGCATTTTAAGGTGGGCATTGTAACTATCCAGCGAGTGTAGGACTTTGTTGCAAATGTTGCACAGATGAATTTCTGCGTGTTGGTGCACACGCGTCACGTGCTCGCGCAGTTTATGCATTTTATGGAAGACCTTACCGCAATGGTCACATCTAAATGATAAAGTAGGATCGTTATCCAACAGAAAATTCAAACATTGCTTGAATCTGGAACCTTACCTCACATCCAGCTTATGATTCCGCATGTGACTTTTCAGCGCCGCTGCTGAATTGCACACTTTATTGCACTGCTGGCAAATGGAAGGACACGGAGCACCCTGGCCCAGATGGTGTACCTTTACGTGCTCATCGCGTGCATAGAAGTCACCGTACCGTCGGTCGCAGTAGTCACACTTGATCGGTTGGGCATGCATTTTCCTGTGAACGTTCAACGACCGAACATCCCTCAGTACAATCATTTCCGTCACACATTCGGGGCAGGTTTGTGGCACCAAGCCCGAGTGAACTGATAAATGATCCAGCAGTGCCTTAGCCGAACCCATGGATTCGCTCTTGCATATGTAACATTTGTAATCGTTCAGCTTGGGTCGATTAGGATCGTGCAGGAACGGGCGACTCAACTGGCCTTGTCCTATAGTTGCCGATGTAACTCCTTCAGATGCGGTCCCTTCGCAGTCAGTGTCATCGTCAGAGCTTGATTCTTTTTGTTCAAATGATCCTTGTTTTAGCAAAGCCGCAAACGATAGCGGACCGTCATCTTGGGGGGATGTTACGCATGTTGCGATTCTTTCTATCGTTCCAACTTCGTTGAATACCAGCTCCGATTTGCTGAAAAGATTGAATGTTTCATAACAATTCAAACCTAGAGGATTGCGTAGCTTTGGTTTACATTGCTGCATCAATATCGAACGACGCCTTGTTGTAGTTACAATTCGCAGGGATTCCACCTCCGAAGATCCTCTGCCTCAGCGCTCGCTCATTTGCACGGAACTGCTCGATCAGATGCCTCATTTTGGTCAGAATGCCTACGCACGGATCGCAGATATTGGACGGCAGACCGTCCGCGAATCTAATCTCCAGTCGTAGGACATCGGTAATAATTTCCGCCAGCCGCAGTTCGTTGTAATCGTAGAATATCGACTTGAGTGGGCCGACTTCGGATGAACACATGCGGCAGATTTTGCTCAGATCCATGGTGGGATTAAGGTTCCGAAGGATACCTTTCCAGGATGAATTTTCCGCAGATCAAAACTTTCTACTTCTACAAAATCGAGATTCCAAATTTTTTATGTTGTTCTGTCAAAAGTGACACTGCACTGGAGCTCACCGCAGGCACTCCGATGCACTTGTGCAAGAGTGCATCCGCATGAGAGAAGGAGCTCACAACCCTCAAAACAAGAACTCAAACAACGTTTCTTCTTATTTCTTCCTGGCTTTTGTGTTCTTATACGCGAGCTTTTTGCCTGCTCTCAAGCTACTGGTTCTTGAAGCACTTCCACAGTTATTAATTAAACGCTTTCTATGCGCTTCTATTCTACCAATACAGTGTGATTACTCTATGCCCAAGGAAGTCGGGAAAATTTCCAATCCGAAATATGTTTTCCAGCCCGGGCCAGAAATCGAACCCGCCTTGGTTATTCCGTGCCTTAACTGACTAGGCTACCTGAGACCCGAAACACTCACCGACGAATATGACAGAAAAATCTTTACGAAAGTGCAGATGCACAATAATCTACATTGGTGCATCTGTTTACACAGGGCCGTTTCATTTGTTCTAAGAATTTTCCGAGAATATCTCGTAGTTGCGGCTTGATTCGCGCCGTTAAAACTTCCAAGGTATGTTAAAATCATGTGTCCCAAATTATTCTGTTATAACGTAAAAAAGGCTTTTCTTGAACCCACAGAATGGACAAGTCGTCGTCCGGCAAGCGATCGCAGGCTAAGCTATACTCCGAGGAAACCATTAAAACATGCATCCAGAACATCAAAACAGGCAAAATGTCCGCGTATGGGGCCAGCAAAGCATTCGGCATTCCAATGTCTACCATCCGCTACCGGATGAGCAATCGTTGGAAGCAGTCAACCAGACCGGGGCCGTCGACTGTGCTCTCGACCGCTGAAGAGCAGGAAATAGTCAGCTGGATGATCGGAATGAAAGAGCGAGGCTTTCCTGTTTCGCGTGAAAATGTGCTGTCTAAGGTTTCCGAATTTCTGTCGTCGAATCCAGACAGAGAGAAATGGTTCAAGAATAACCGACCAGGTAATAAATGTTAAATCGCTATCCTATTAGCACTGGATAACTGTAGAACTCATATTAATTTAGGTCGAAAATGGGTTGAATTATTCATGCGAAGAAACCCCGACTGTCATTGCCTTATGAAGGCGTTCGATCCAGTATTAGCAGCGAGTGAAGGACATATCCGAGGATGGTTCCAGTCAGTGGAAAGCTGGCTTACCAAGAATGGTATGCGCGACTTACTGGAAGATCCAACGAGAGTTTTCATTGGCGACGAATTGTCGTTCAGTTTTCCACCGGAAACTAAGGAAATTTGCCCACGGTCTTGTTCCTCAAAGACTCAAGAAATCGAGCGAACCGCAGACGTTGAAAACATAGCGATTATGTTTTCTTTCTGCGCATCTGGTGTTGCCGTTCCACCCAATGTCGTTCTTCCCGAACAACGTAGCCGCACTGAGCTGACGAAAGATATTCCTTTCGGTTGGGGACTAGACGTGAGCAGACACGGATGGATGAATCCAAATAGTTTCCGTCAGTACATTCTTAAAGTACTTCATCCGTTCTTGGTAAAACAAGGCGTTAAATTTCCAATCGTTTACTTTGTCAATGCACACGCTTTGCACAAAGCGGTCGAAGTGGACGATCTTTGCCAATCATTAGGAATTGTACTTGTATCTCTGTATATTGTATCCAACACATCACTGCTTATGCAGCCGGCAAATATCGGCGTTGTTGAGCTACTTAGAAGTAAATGGCAAAACGTCACAGATGAGTGGCATTTGGAACATCCAGGTGAAGCACTTACGTTGCCGTATATGTTTCCGCTTCTGGACAAAACTTTGAAACGAGGAATCCACACAAGCGCCATTCAAAATGGGTTTCGTGCTTGTGGACTGCACCCCTTCAACGTTAACGCCGTAGACTACTCTTCCACGTGTGTAGTACAAAAAACCTATTCTCAACCCTTAAACATGTCGCTCCCAGATGAATCAGAAGTTCCACACGATGAATGGGAACAGATGGAAATGCCGGAAGCGGAAGCATCATTGCCACCTGAGCATGTGGCCATACCCATTGACAAAATTTACGAAGCCTATGACTTAATCGGTGGCAGCACAATTAATAGAATCGAAGGTGATATTAGCAGTCTTACTCGCGAAGAGCGAATCATACGATTTTTCTACCGCGAGTTCGTTCGACCTCATGTTCATTTTAACGGGCATTTTATGTCGAACGACAGTAACGCCACACAGGTCAGCGCAGACGATGGGGAACATTTTCCTGCCTCTAGAGTTATCGATACCAACGACTATAAAATTATAAAAATGGAAAAACAGGATTCATGCGACGATGATAGCGCATCACCACCAGATGGCGATTCGAAGGCTAGCATAATTCAACCCACGAGGAACACCAACGAGGCTCCACCCTTCGATATTAATTCAGACTTCGGTCATTTTTTCACATGATCTCATCGATAAGCTTCTATAATACAAGCTTTCCAGAGAATGGACCTAAGCTCTATTCCTCTTTTTTTTTTGTTCATTGTACTGGGACTTGTAAAAATGTTTATCGAACTCGAATGTCGAAATCTATACAAAAAATTTCAATAATCGAATTTCTTTCTGCAAGTAAACCGATTTTATATTTATAAACCTGAATTAATTTAATTATCGATGACATGTCTTTTTCGTGCAATGTTGGGAAAACTGAACGTTCCGTGCATGGCTTGAGATTTTTTTCCTGACTGCTGTTGTGTCCAAGTACGATGCAGTATAGATTTGTTTTCCGTTTTCGAACTCGTTCGAATCGAGTCGTTCGTACGAACGAACGATTCGTACGAAAACGGGAATAGAGGTGAATAGTTTTGATTACAGTCGCTATATTCATAGTCTGGCGGATAGTCTAGCGGAACCAATCGAGCAAATCACGAACAACAACAGAAAATAGCACATCTGCAATTGCGAACAAAACTTCGGAAACCCTTTTCTCGTAACTCAAGGCTCGCCTACGCAAACTAACACCATCTTTGGGTTGAGGAAAGCTTCCCCTATCGGATGATGCCGGTAATTTGCGTTCGATTGGCGAGGAAAGAATAATCAACGTTTTGTTTTTAAAAGTTGATAGTACCTTTTCAATTGTTGGTCTACAATATATTGAATTGGTTCCGGTTTTTGATAGATCGAAATTCTATCCGCCAGACTATGCATATAGCGACTATAGTTTTGATCACTCGCGTGCACAGCAGCCTGGGGGCAGACGCTCTCTAGATTTTTATTAGACAAATTTTCATCAATATCAATATTTCAAAAGGGGGAATTTTTTTTTTTATAATATGTTTGATAGTTTGCATGTGCGAGCTATTATTAACAACGTCGTCAAGATGTTAATAATAGCTCACACATGCAAACTAACAACACAATCAAGTATAGAGGAATGTTTCCTCTACCAGCTGTTATGGCTATTGAAATCATTGTTTTCAAAAGCAGTTTCGCCCTGATGAACTGTTGGCATCGAAATAGAAGTCATCTCATGGGTGCCCCAAAGACCCAAAACACCTCTTAAATGAACAAAAATGCCTGAAGTTATTCATCGCAATGAACGTAGCCGCTTGAATATGTAAGTAGTAGCAACAATCAATACTAAACATACGAGTTTAAATTGGCTCGAACAATATTTATTTTATTGTTGTTTTACATCAACAGGCTGGATGAAGCCCCAATGATGTTAACCTTATCAACTATGGTAAAAAATACATTCAAGCATGGTCATAACATAAAAAAAAAAACATTAAAAAACATATATCTTATAGTCAGTTACTCCTGCCGGCGACAGAAGAAAACTTTCGACGAAGTGCATCACGGGAGAGATGAAAGTCGAAAACAGATGCAACTCTGTTGAATGTTCTCTGCAGTCCGCAAATCGCACCGTATGCTCCATAATTTGTGCGACGTAGAGACAGTCTTAGCATAAGGTTATTACGAAGCGGTCGGGGTTCAACATTCAGGTCAATTTGCCTCAGGATAGTCTCGCAATCTGTCCTTCCTTGCGGCCACGGTTAGGACTCTGCTTGTGTCTCTTCTAAAGGGTGATACGGTCAAAATTTGGTCAATATCAACTTGACGTATTTCTTTCAATTTTGCATTTAAAAAACCTGAACACCCCTCATTTTGAAGGTGTGTGTGTGTAGAATGTTGCTCCTATTTTGATTTTGGAATTCACTCTTCAGTTGTCAAAATGCCGTCCAAGCAAGAAGAGCAGCGTATCAAAATTTTGCTCGCGCATCGCGAAAATCCGAGCTACTCGCACGCAAAGTTGGCAAAATCGCTAAAAGTTGCCAAATCAACCGTTACAAATGTAATTAAAGTGTTTGGGGAACGTTTGTCGACAGCCAGGAAGTCTGGATCGGGGGGAAATCGAAAACCAGAAGCCGCTGAGACGACAAAGAGAGTTGCCGGTAGTTTCAAGCGAAACCCTAACCTCTCTCTCCGAGATGCCGCAAATAAGCTGGGTGTATCGTCTACAACCGTGCATCGAGCCAAAAAAACGAGCCGGACTATCGACTTACAAGAAGGTAGTGACTCCAAATCGCGATGATAAACAAAATACGACGGCCAAAGCGCGATCCCGGAGGCTGTACACGACGATGCTGACGAAGTTTGACTGCGTGGTAATGGACGACGAAACCTACGTCAAAGCCGACTACAAGCAGCTTCCGGGACAGAAGTTTTATACGGCAAAAGGAAGGGGAAAGGTAGCAGATGTTTTCAAGCACATGAAACTGTCAAAGTTCGCAAAGAAATATCTGGTTTGGCAAGCCATCTGTACCTGTGGCTTGAAAAGCAGCGTTTTCATAGCTTCCGGGACTGTCAACCAAGAAATTTACGTGAAAGAGTGTTTGAATAAACGTCTGCTGCCTTTCCTGAAGAAACACGGTTGTTCCGTATTGTTTTGGCCGGATTTGGCATCTTGCCATTACGGTAAAAAGGCCATGGAGTGGTACGCCGCCAACAACGTGCAGGTGGTTCCCAAGAACAAGAACCCTCCCAATACGCCAGAGCTCCGCCCAATTGAGAAATACTGGGCTATTGTCAAGCGGAACCTAAAGAAGACCAAAAAAACTGGTAAGGGCGAGCAGCAGTTCAAGGCAAACTGGCTTTCTGCGGCGAAGAAGGTGGACAAGGTGGCTGTACAAAATCTGATGGCAGGGGTCAAGCGTAAGGCCCGGAAATTCGGATTTGGAAAAGCGGAAGCCTAACTGAATATTTTTCTTGAATTTTATACTAATTGAACTTGAAAAAGAAATTTAATTTGATTTTTAAATAAACGATTTCACCGATTTACACGCGTTTTCCCTTGACCAAATTTTGACCGTATCACCCTTTAGTCCGGAGAAGTTCTAGGCAGGGTGCCTTCCATTCATTTTGACTAAGAAAATGTTTTATGAAATTATGGAATAATAAGATTATATGATAATATTTTGTTTGTGTACGCAACAAGAAAATATTGTGAAGTTTGTGTATAACGCATAATACCTGCCAATTTTGCTACATTAGCGTCGCAATGAGCGATTTTGTCATTTATCTCACCCACTCTTCGCTCTTCACTCTTCGCGAAGAGGCGATCAGAAAATCGCTCATTGTGACTCTTTTGAAGCTAAATTTGCATGTTTTGTGTGTCAAACATAAACTTTATAATCTTTTCTTGTTACTTACACATACAAAATATTATCATAATATCTTATTATTCCGTAATTTCATAAAACATGTTTTTCGCCAAAATGAATGGAAGGCACCCTGGTTCTAGGTCGATAAGTTGACAACGGCTTTCGTAACTGGGTAATCGAAACCGATCATTCCAAGGCAATCTACGCAACGCAAAACGAAAAAATCGACGTTGAACAGATTCAATTATCTCGGCACCGTTGTTGTAGTTTGGGTTTCAAACCGCTGAACAATACTCAAGCGTCGATCGAACAAGCGAACAATAGAGAGATTTTAGACATTAGATATCAGAGAAGTTTTTAGCTATCCTAAAAATAAACCCTAAAGTTCTTGACGCCTTATCAACAACATATGCAATGTGTTGCTTGAGTGAAAGCTGCGAATCCAAGATCACACCCAAGCCTTTCACCTGATTTACGCGTTCGATTGTCGAGCCAAGCAGGTCGTAGCTAAATGTTATCGGTTGTTGTTTTTGTGAGAACGTAATAGCGGAGCATTTGGCTGGGTTCACTACCATTCTGTTTAACCTGCACCAACTAGCGAATACATTCAGCTGACATTGAACAAAGTGAGAGTCAGCAATGGAGCAGATTCGTAGGAAGATTTTGAGGTCATCTGCATATGATAACCGAGGAGCTTCGATGACCAGATGCACGTCGTTGAAGAACAGTATAAAAATTAACGGTCCCATGTGGCTTCCCTGATGTGGCGAAGAAGCTAGCTCATCTGCAATCTCCTATGGCAACCTTTAGTTGCCGACCGGTAAGATATGATCGAAACCAACTCAGAAGATTACCGCATACACCGAGCCTACCGAGTTTAGCAATCGCAATAGCATGGTTCAACTTGTCGAATGCTGCGGATAGGTCTGAATAAATAACGTCCGTTTGAACCCGATCCGATATGCTTTCGGTTATATACGATGTGAGACACAGCAGATTGGTAGTTGTAGAGCGGCCGACAGTAAACCCATGTTGATCAGCACTCAAATACTGCTTGCAATGGGACAGCAACGGTTCCATAATCACTAGCTCGAATAGCTTCGAAACGGCACTTAACGATGTAATTCCTCGATAGTTATCCACAGCTCGTTTCCTTCCTTTTTTGTAGACGGGAAACAGCAAGATGGAAATATGCCACTGGAGAGAGACTTTCGGAACATGCGAAGAAGCCGCATTAACAAGCTAGCAATATGTCTCTTCAAAAATACAGATGGAAATCTGTTAGAGTATCCGAATCGAAGCAACCAGTGATTCCCTGTTCTAGTATATAAGTGATACCTGTAATAAAGAAAATTTAGTCATTTGTCTACCGCTGAACCGTTCAGTCGAACTTCTTTGCCCTTCCGAATAGTCCAATAAAATCCATCAGGTCCAGGATTGAAGAATGAGTAGAGCAGAGTCGCGGCCTTAGAAATCATCTCAGCATTAACATCAATTGCACCCAGCGTTTGATCATTTACTGGAACGTTCCTGGCAGCCAGGTTAATATGGTCGTCAGTTAGTATCTCATTAGTGAATACACTGGCAAACTTTTCGGAAAAAAAGGTGGCATAAAGGGTGATACGGTCAAAATTTGGTCAAGGGAAAACGCGTGTAAATCGGTGAAATCGTTTATTTAAAAAATCAAATTAAATTTCTTTTTCAAGTTCAATTAGTATAAAATTCACGAAAAATATTCAGTTAGGCTTCCGCTTTTCCAAATCCGAATTGCCGGGCCTTACGCTTGACCCCTGCCATCAGATTTTGTACAGCCACCTTGTCCACCTTCTTCGCCGCAGAAAGCCAGTTTGCCTTGAACTGCTGCTCGCCCTTAGCAGTTTTTTTGGTCTTCTTTAGGTTCCGCTTGACAATAGCCCAGTATTTCTCAATTGGGCGGAGCTCTGGCGTGTTGGGAGGGTTCTTGTCCTTGGGAACCACCTGCACGTTGTTGGCGGCGTACCACTCCATGGCCTTTTTACCGTAATGGCAAGATGCCAAATACGGAACAACCGTGTTTCTTCAGGAAAGGCAGCAGACGTTTATTCAAACACTCTTTCACGTAAATTTCTTGGTTGACAGTCCCGGAAGCTATGAAAATGCTGCTTTTCAAGCCACAGGTACAGATGGCTTGCCAAACCAGATATTTCTTTGCGAACTTTGACAGTTTCATGTGCTTGAAAACATCTGCTACCTTTCCCCTTCCTTTTGCCGTATAAAACTCCTGTCCCGGAAGCTGCTTGTAGTCGGCTTTGACGTAGGTTTCGTCGTCCATTACCACGCAGTCAAACTTCGTCAGCATCGTCGTGTACAGCCTCCGGGATCGCGCTTTGGCCGTCGTATTTTGTTTATCATCGCGATTTGGAGTCACTACCTTCTTGTAAGTCGATAGTCCGGCTCGTTTTTTTGGCTCGATGCACGGTTGTAGACGATACACCCAGCTTATTTGCGGCATCTCGGAGAGAGAGGTTAGGGTTTCGCTTGAAACTACCGGCAACTCTCTTTGTCGTCTCAGCGGCTTCCGGTTTTCGATTTCCCCCCGATCCAGACTTCCTGGCTGTCGACAAACGTTCCCCAAACACTTTAATTACATTTGTAACGGTTGATTTGGCAACTTTTAGCGATTTTGCCAACTTTGCGTGCGAGTAGCTCGGATTTTCGCGATGCGCGAGCAAAATTTTGATACGCTGCTCTTCTTGCTTGGACGGCATTTTGACAACTGAAGAGTGAATTCCAAAATCAAAATAGGAGCAACATTCTACACACACACACCTTCAAAATGAGGGGTGTTCAGGTTTTTTAAATGCAAAATTGAAAGAAATACGTCAAGTTGATATTGACCAAATTTTGACCGTATCACCCTTTAGTGCACAAGTAGCCGAGGAAATTAATGGAGCCCTGTCCTGTGTGCTCACGAAGCAGAGGTCCAAATTACGATCATTTCCGTTAACTACATGGTTAATTTGAGAAAGCGTCACTGCGCTGTAGTTGTCGAGAAGGCTAATAGCTCCTGCGTGAAATGTAGAGCTATCAGGATCTGGGTACAGGAATCCGCTATGAAATGGACACCACGAAACGCCTGGCAGATTGAAGTCACCAAAAATGAATCTCTCATCAACTGTGACACTTTCGATAACTGTGAAAACTGACCGACAGTGAGTATCGATGAGTTCATTGTCGCGGACTCGATCAGGTGGAATGTACAGAGCGCATAGAAATGTGTGCGATCACCCAGATTGATGGCTGTCCAAACCTGCTCCACATAGTTCCATGAATCGTTCTCAACAGCTACAAGGACACCTCCACCAGTAGATTTACGGCTGTTGTTAGGATTCCGATCGCAACGAAAGACCTCGTAGTCAGGACCGAAGACTGGAAAGCGTTCGATAATCGAGTCACGTTTCGCACAGGACAATTATATCGTAGCAACTATCCGATTAAGCTAGGTGGTACTCTTCAACATCAGAATTCATTCCACCGGCGTTTTGGTAGAAGATCACGACGTCCTGCTTGCGGCAAGGAATCGAACGACTGCTCTCCCTGGAAATCACAGATACATCAGGCAATAACTGACCATCATCATTGGATACTCGCCATAGTGAGTGGGTTGGAAGACCCATTGGCTCATTCATATGCGTAGCCAAAAGAGGGCAATGGGGAGCCACTGGCCCTCTAACATTGATTTTAATTTTTTAAAAGAGTTAGTTCAAAATGTTTGACAAAATTGATCAGAGATCAAAGTCTCATTTCCATTTTTTTTCAAGGTCTCCGAACCTCGGAATTTTGTCGTTGTTGCGGAAACATTACGTTGTATGAAGACCATTAGATTGAACAATTATTAAGCTTCTTTGGCTATGGACCCAAATATTAACTAATGAAGATTGTTCTGCAAATTTTTGAATCATTTAATTAAAAAATAGTTCCAAGCACTTTGAGATCGCGGTTCGATTATTACAAACAATATCTTCAAAATTTTGGCACTTATTGAAAATTTCAAGATTCGAAGGCCATGCAAATCCCGATTAGCAATTTCCCGGTTTTCCCGAATATTTCTCGTAATTTAGGAAATTTTCCCGGTTGTGCGATTTACATTTATATTAAGCATAATACCAACCAGTGGAGACTAACGATTTTAAATTGGCTCACTACTTGACTAGCCAATTGGTCCCAAGCAAATCGATTAACGTACCCCATTCTAGTCAAAATTCTAGTACTAAGTTTGTTTTGATTCGCTATGAAAGTTTGACAGATAAAATGAGGGGTTAGTGGATTTTCCTATGTTTCGAGGGGTGAATCGATTAGCTTGGGTCCGAAGATAGTACCAGAGCTAAACCAAACAGTTGAGCTCGTTTCTTCGGGACCTTATATGATACAACTGCTAGCACAACCCACCGTTGTAGAACAATTCAACGGCTTCGTTAGTCAAAGTTGGTGAAGCGGTTAGAAATACTCCCCGAAATGTGTTCATCTTTGATAGCTTTACGAATAACTGTAAAATAATGTCGAATCTGCCACGTTGAAGCCGAAAATCTCCAATACTTTTTCCACCCGGACGGAATCCCTTCTTGTTTCTTGAATAGAATCTCTACAGTGTTTACCCATCAGCCAGTACCGAAGTTGTTCAATATTTCCTAACAGCAAGCTGTATTTCAAAAGCATAATGTTGTAAATTACCAGGGAATCGCTCCGCTGAGTACCTACTTTAGTCTTCGAGATCATTATTAACGATGCATTATTTGCTAGCTGCAGAAACTATATTTCTCCTGATCAACTGAATTCTATCCCAAGAAATCGGTCTCAACTACAATATCGAAGCATCGTCAATCTTCACACTGCCGTACTCTAGCGGAACTATCAACCTATCCTCTTCAAATCATTGGAAGTTGAACTATTTCCATCTAAGAGACAGTGATTAATCCCAAAATGTTACCTATGAGGTAACGGATGGACGCCTACATTATTCGGACGCCTACAATAATCTAGGAGTTGCACCATCTACGAATGTGTGCAACTTGGTTAATACCAATGCGTGTGCGAATATCTAATAGTTCACTACATTAGTAGCAAACACTGAAGAAATGTGTTCATTACAAACGAAATACGCGTATCTGTTGAGGATATCCGTTTGTGCAATTAAATGGTAATTGCTGACTCTTCTCTCTATCTTATCATTGAACGTTCCTGAATTTTACTGTATTACTATTTTTAGGAAGTTAGCTGAATTTTCAGGTGAAATTTACGTTAAATAGAGTTAGTGTAGAATTTACCCCGATCGGATTGGTTGGTTCAGGAGATAATCAGCACAAACCAACATTTCAAATCAAAACTCACCTGCGCAAGGAGGATTCCATTTTTTCATATCACTCGGGATTCGGTAGCTCATGAGAGACAAACAGAAAATGCAGAAAACATTAGCTTGGAGAGTGCCCAGCAGTACCAAAAATACTGTGTGCTGCATTTTTTTTCCAGAAGGCTAACTTTTGACAGATGTTTGTATTATAAACATTACAACTTGTGTAGTAAATATCGATCTCGGTTGTTACTGGAGCTGTTCCAGCGGATCGAGCTGGAAAAGATGTTTAAAAAGTTCAACCTAGCTCAGGATTCACATGTCTGATAATGGACGTGAACCGAATCTGCCGGATGTGCTCCTCGGCTAAGGGTCGCTTGAAATCGATCTTCGAGGACTACGTTGAGGAGAACCTTGTTCAAACAATTGGGAACGTTCTACAGCTTTCGATCAGCGCCGATGACGGACTGCCATCTAATGTTTGCAAACCTTGCGTGAATATCCTCATCAAAATGCGACAAAACGTCCAGCAGTTCCGAGAGAATGATAGATCCCTGCGGAATATTATTTTCGGGTCCGGCGAAACAGATATCAAAGTGGAGGATGATTTACCGACAGAAGTGTAAAAAGATTGATACGTTTATACTTTGAATTTCAAATTTACATCTTTTACACGTTTGCAGCTATCCTGATTGTACATTCCGAAATAAATCGGAGTTACCGGTTCAACGTGAACCTATTATTCCATTACCAATTGTGATGAAACAAGAACCATCTGATGACGACATCACATTCGAAGAAAAGACTCCGGAAGATGACGACGAGTACAAAGCAACTACAACCGATTCAAGTGATAGCAGTGAGATTAATTCTGATTCAGATGATGCTCCTCTGCAGCCCAAGAGAAAAGTTCGAAAGAAACCTAGCCAACGAACTACGAAATACAGCAAATCCGAACGTTCTAGCCGGAAGCGACAGAAGAAGATTGATCTCGACCGACCCAAGCTCAACGATCACAAGTGCTATATCTGTGGCAGTAGTGAATCGATGGGCTCGGCAAAGGCACTGCTGGAACATTTGACCGTTCATTTGGATATGATGCCACATACCTGCACCGAATGTGTGATGGAACCGGTTGTGCTGAAAAACGTTCGATCCTTGAACGTGCACAAAAAGATGCATGCCCAACCGATTAAATGTGAGTACTGTGATCGAAGGTACAGCGATTACTATGCCCGCGATGGACACGTTAAAACCTATCACCTGGGCGAAAGTGCCCCATGCCCGTCAACCTGTGAGCAATGCGGTAAGGTCTGCAAGTCGATTGCAGCGCTGAAGAGCCACATGCGGGATCATAAGCTGGATGTCAAGTAAGATTCATATTGATTGGTGCACTTTTTACCGAATAATTTACTCTGTTCATTCCTCACTAGGTGCGATCACTGTGGCAAGGTCTTTCATAGGATGAGCAAACTGCGTGAACACGTGACACGGGTACACGAGAAAGCCGAGAAGTACGACTGTAACCTCTGTAACCACGTGCTGCACTCGTTGGAAAGTTACAACTCTCATTTGAAGATGCATAATGCGGAGAAAACATACGTCTGTGACCTTTGTCCGATGAAGTTCTACACGGCGGGCAACCTGGGTTTGCACAAGAAGGTGCATGCCAAAAATGTAAACTACAAACCCCACAAGGACTGGACCAGCCACTATACCGTTGCGCAAGATGTGGACCGAGGGAAGATCTACGCCTGCAATCACTGTGGGAATACCTACAGCGGCACGGTGAACACAATCATCAGTCACGTGAAGCATCACTTCAAGGACATCCAGTGCGATCGGTGCGACTTGAAGTTCACAAATATGCACAAGCTGAAGATTCATTATGTGGTTCATACGCGAGAACGGAACTATCGGTGTGAGCATTGTGGGAAGGACTTCATGTATAGAACCCACTTGAACTATCACATCAAGAACAAACATGGGCGCACAGGCAACAACGGTGGGGATGCGTTGACGTTGACTGAACCTGTGGATCCGAAGACGATGAGTGAAGGAGATGTAACTTAATCGTAGTAAGATTTGGTTTTGTTTAGAATAAGCGAATTATTTCCCAATAAATGTCAGTAGTAGTCAATCACATTTACATGAGAGTTTAATAAATTCTCGTGGGTGATACTTTTGACCAGAGGTGGTAAATGAGCAAATCCACGCCAAATAGCGAAAAAGTAAGAGGTTGTATCCAAGACGACCGTAGATTTGACGAAGGATTACGAAAGGTAGTTTCGATGTCACAGCAAAAGTATAGTAAATATTAAATTGTCTCAATCGACTCGTTATGTCGTTGTCCATGTCGTCAATTCTAGACGATGTGTCTTGGTTACAAGGTCTAACTTGAAGTAGTTAACTCTTTTATCAGTTATTTGTGGTCCTGAAAAGGACCGATGGGTTGTAAACATGGAATCCAGTTTTGAACAATGCTGTGGAATTCTTTCTTTGTTGCAAATTTTAAATAAATTCATTCAATAAAGAAAAAAATAAGCAAAACTCGATTAACAAAATATCAAAATTTGAGAGAGGTAGGGTAGAGAACTACTTCGGCCTAATCCCCCATTTTGGGCCTATCGAGCAGAAAATTTCAAATTAATCCATGATTTCAGAGTTAACAAGTCAATTATGCGTTTGGTACGATACTTTAGTTAATAAGCTACCGAACGAAGTCAATGAGAACGCGTGGTATGGAAGTTTGCACCCATTATTCCCAAAAACAAAAGAAGCGGTCCGACTGAATCAATTTTTATCTTCATACGATAGGCCGAAGTGTATTCATTAGCGTTTCAATGGCGTTTCAATGCGTTAGGCCGAGTTTAGAATCCGTAGGCGGAGTTTGGCGTCAAGAAGCAGTGTTAGACTTTTGACAATATCTCAACGATTGGTTTATCTTTATCAAATATTATGGTACGTACGGAAAGGTAAACAAATTTGGAAGCCATCAGTGATAATAACATTCCGTTTGGTGCTAAACTGTGCTAGATTAAGAAAGACTAAGTGCGGGTTGTGCTTAATAGGCCGGAAATGCGGTAGTTAACCCTATATTTTGGTGTTTTTGAGATTTCTTTATTTTAGTGGAACATGTTTTTTTTCAATAACTTTTTTTTAATGCATTGAAATGGCGTTTTACAGACTTGACGACTTTGGCAACGTTGTTTATCTTGATAAAATAAACAACTCTTCTGAAGACGTCAATACTCAACAGCCTACTTTCGACATCAAGTCTCCAAAACGTCAGATGCCTTCGATAAGCTGAACCACGAAATTGCGATCGCTAAGCTTGATAGGCTAGGGATCGGTGGAAATCTTTTTAGATGGTTTCGTTCATAGCTCACGGAGCGCCAATTGACAGTAACTTTGGGTACTTGTCGCTCAGCAAGCTTCTGTGCAAAGTCCGGTATACCTCAGGGTATCCATCTGGGACCATTGGTATTTCTCCTTTACTTCGACGACGTTCACCATGTTTTTCTGTGCATCCGCTCACTCGCCGACTACCGTTCTCTCCAAAATCAGATTGACATCTTTGCTGACTGACTGGTGTAGTCTAAACCGACTGGTGGTCAAGCCAGCTAAGTGTACAGTTATTACTTTCTCACGCAAGAAACAACCGATTATTTTCAACTACAAACTACTAGGCACGACTATCAAACGGGTGCATTGCGTGAAAGACTTAGGCGTTTTTCTAGACTCAAAGCTGACATACTCACACCATATATCGAATGTCGTCGAGAAAGCGTCCAGAACGCTTGGCTTTGTCTTCAACATTACTAAGAACTTCACAGACATTTACTGCTTGAAATCGCTCTATTGCTCTCTCGTACGATCTACGTTGGAATACTGCTGCCGAACTACAATAATGGGGCCGAGCTAATTGAATCTGTTCAACGACGTTTTCTTCGCTTCGCGCTCCGTAAGCTGCCTTGGAGATACCCACTTCGTCTTCCAAGCTACGAGAATCGCTGCCAATTGATCAATGTCGAGCCCTTACGTATCCGAAGAGATGTTTTCAGAGCCTTAACCGTCGCGGATACTCTGCAAGGAAGAATCGACTGCGAAGCAATTCTACAACAAGTGAACATTAATGTTCAACCTCGATCACTACGCAACAGTCTTATGCTGAGACTTCCACTTCTTCGAACTAATTATAGCTTACCCGCATAAACGTGAACCATAAATTGACCTTACCTAAAATGGTTAAAAATTGTTTATAATACCTGCTAAACTTTAACTGAAATGGTTATGGAACTTTACATGAACGTTTAATGATAAAGTTTCAACCTTATGTATTATGGTTTTTTGGAACTGGACCTTACAAATAATGGGTTGTTAAGAACCATTACCATTCCAAATTCTTGTTTTCTCCATACATTTTCAGAAAGAGAACTATATAAGAACGTTTTTACTTATGATTTGAGAACATTAATGGTAATGGTTATGGTAGTCAGTAAGGTCCATTAATGGTTTTGTATTATCGCTCAACTTTACGTGGAATATATCGTGAATTGGTAATCAGTAAATTACAGGCAACCAATTCGCGATATATTCCACATAAAGTTGATTGATGTTACAAAACCATTCGTGGACCTTACTGACTACCATAACCATTACCATTAAAGTTCTCAAACCATAAGTTAAAAGGTTCTAATATAGTTCTCTTTCCGAAAATGTATGGAGAAAACAAGAATTTGGAACGGTAATGGTTCTTAACAACCCATTATTTGTAAGGTCCAGTTCCAAAAAACCATAATACATAAGGTTGAAACTTTATCATTAAACGTTCATGTAAAGTTCCATAACCATTTCAGTTAAAGTTTAGCAGGGATTATAAACAATTTTTAACCATTTTAGGTAAGGTCAATTTATGGTTCGCGTTTATGCGGGTAGGGACGCTATTTACGGCTTGCGTCGAGTGTTCAACCAACAATCAATTAGAAACTAACGATTTTAAATTGGCTCACTACTTGACTAGCCTATTGGTCCCAAGCAAACGATTAACGTACCCAATTCTAGTCGAAATTCTAGCACTACACAATGTTTGTTTTGATTCGCTATGAAAGTTTGACAGATAAAATGAGGGGTTAGTGGATTTTCCTATGTTTCGAGGGGTGAATCGATTAGCTTGGGACCGAAGAGAGTACCAGAGCTGAGCCAAAAAGTTGAACACGTTTCTTCGGGACGTACTAGTCTTAGAGTTACCTCTATGGTTCAACCGAGTAGCGTCGATGTTCGATTTCCACTTGACACGGAATGTGCTTCGCCGAAGATTCTCTGCCTTTGTTGCTGACAGAAGACGCTTGATGCCCAACAGCTAAGTGTAAAATTTAAGACTTATAAATTTTTAGTAACTTGACAATGCTTTCCTAGTTATTTTCGTTTGTAACTGTAGTAACTGTAGTATATGTAGTCTGTATAACCTGTACTTTTTTTACAACACATCATTGGGACTATTTCTAGTCTGTTGATGCAAACATAACAAATAAACAAATGTCAATAGATGGTCCTTATTATGATGAGATACTTTGCCGAAGACACTAAGTCGCGGAAATGCTTCGTTTCGGAGTTATTAATTTTGCTCCGCTAGATTGCATTCCTGGTCCAGTGTGCATTTACAAGTCTCGCGTCACTTTTCAAATAGGCCAATCTACATTGATCGATTCCCTTCACACAGCAAAAAAATAATTTTAATATCAATGCATTAACTGACATTACGCTGCTTTTACTGCGTTTGTTTATTTTTGCGAAGTGCATTCTTTTGGATGTAATATTAAAATTATTTTTTTGCTTTGCATCGACTCTCTCTTTCGTTGATAATTTGGCTGCATTCTTATTTCGTTTGCGCTTGCGGGTAGCCTTTCGTCGTGTACTGTAGAACAATCTACAACGCCACGCGCCGAAAGCACTGCTGCTGCTGCTGATGATGATGATGATGACCACTGGACACCACCACTCACCAAACGCGGTGATTGAATAAACACCGTTCGGTGAGACCGAAGTAAATTCGATTTGGGAGAAAGCGCTTTTCGCAGTCAATCAGTAAACATTTTCATTATTATGGCAACAGTTGCACTCATGCAATTTTCAATAGTAACGTTTTGAAAATTGATAAAGTGTCCATTTTAGCAGATTCGTAGATGACATTCCAATTGATTGACTTGTTTAGAATTAATATCCATCCGCTATTGACAGAGTTATTAGTGGTCAAATCGTGACCACTTTTCGTAACACAGTCGATTTTGTTTTTTTTTTCATTGCACCCCCAATCCTACGTCAAAAATAAACAAATTTTAGATTTTACCTCAGAATTCCATGAAACTTCGCACAATCGTTCGCTAGGGGCAATGAACAAAGTTTGTGCTGGAATTCGGCCATTTTTTTTATATCTTTATTAGGGAAACTTTCAGTTCGGCCATTTTGACTCTCGCCTAATTTTACAAAATTGCGTATTTGATCTTTGTCAATAAATCATAGCACGAAAACGACTCATCTAATCGAAACGACGTCTGGGATAAAGTTTCAGGGAAATGGATTGACCTTAAAAAAATAAAAATAAATTGTCAAAAATGGAAATCTCCACACTTGAATTACCCAGTCACACATTGGCCTCATTTAGAAATTGTCAGACTTCTTTTCCCGAAGATAGATTTCAGAATTTGTGTCGATCAGATCACACCATATAGATGAAACAGTATCACAATCCAGGAATTTCTCACTAATGAAAGGGACCGAATCACTGAATTTAGTTTTGTTTATTAATTTCTTCCTATGGCTTCAAAATTAGGCACCTGCGGCACAGATACGGTTCCCATTAGCGGTGGTGGACCAAGATCAATCTGCACTGGCGGAGGTTCGTGTTCTGCTGTGATATGGCGCTCCAGTGAAGCATTGTCCACGAACTTTTTCCGGCAGCGAGTGCACTTGTACGGGCTATCTCTCAGGTGGTGATTTCGGATGTGAGCCTTCATTCCCTCCTTGTAGGTGAATAGCTTTCCACAGAACTCGCAAGCATAGTCTCGTTCGGTTCGATGTATTTTCAGATGCTGTGTGAGGTTGTTTTTATGCAAGAAGTCTTTTCCACAGTGGTCGCATTTATGCTGCCGTATGCCCGTGTGAACCACGTAGTGGACCTTCAACTGAGAATCGTTAACGAACATCAAATCACAACGATCGCACTTGATATCCTTAAAATGACTCTTGAGATGGTTGTTGATTTTCATGACCGTTTTGGTGTACGATTTTCCACACAGTTTGCACTTGTATATTTTGTCTGCTCCAGGTTCTTGACTTACAGTGTAATGTCCACTCCAATCCTTGTGCGGTTTGTAGTTTGCATTGGACGAATGAATCTTCTTATGAAGACCTAAATTGCCAGCCGTGTAGAACTTCATAGGGCAGATATCGCATTCATAGGTCTTTTCGCTCATGTGCATTTTCAAATGTGAATTGTAGCTATCCAACGAATGTACTACTCGTTTGCACAGGTTGCACTCGTACTTCTGGGCCTTTTCGTGCACTCTGGCTATGTGATCCTTCAGCTTACCCCGACGATGAAAAATCTTTTCGCAATGCTCACATTGAAGATTCAACCTATGATCACGCATATGAGCTTTTAGAGCAGAAATTGATTTGCACACTTTCCCACACTCGTTACATGTCGATGGGCAGGGAGCACTTTCACCCAAATGATACGTCTTGACGTGATAGTCCCGGGCCCGTTCGTCACAGTACCGGCGATCGCAGTATTGGCACTTCATTGGTTGCGCGTGCATTTTCATGTGGTAGTTCAGCGACCGTACGCTTTTTACGACCACCGTTTCCATCTTACATTCCGAACACGTGTACGGAGTTCGATCCAGGTGAGTCGTCAAATGTTCCAGCAAGGCTTTAGCCGAACCTAGCGACTCGCTGCGGCACACATAGCACTTGTGATCGTTCATTTTCGGACGATTAGGATCATCGCCGTCGTACTTTGGTGGACGGCCACGTTTCTTCTTGCCAGCAGCCAATACTCTGGCTCGAGCCGCACGCTGCCTCTGACTAGCACGAATGGGTTTTAACTTTGGTTTCGATTTATTTCCATCCGGTTCGTAGTCAGAATCAGTGCCGGTTTCTTCCGAGTCTGGATGATTTTGGGAACCAACATGATCTGAATCGTTTGCGTCGGCTTCATCGTAGACTGCTACTTTGAAAACCTGCGCAGTTCGGACTATATTAGATGTGTTCTCGTCTGGCTCATCGGCGACATTAGTGTTGTTTTCGTCGTAAGCAAGGTTGTCATCGAGTTCGTCCTTTGCTACCATGACTTCTGCTATGGAAATATGCTCGATTTGATCATTATGGGCATTTGAGATCGAATGATTCTGGGTCATCGTCATTTCAATTTCGTTGAACTGCAATTCATTTTCAACGGGTTCGTCGTCATTCGTTACCAGTTTTGATATTTTCTCGTGTGATTCATCGGCAAAATTAGAATTGTTTTCGCCGTAATCTAGTTGGTTTTGCGATTCAATGCTATCATCGAAGTTTTCCCTTGTGACCATGGGTTCTGCTATGGAAATATGTTCAATTTGATCATTGTGGGCATTCGAGATAGAATCAACCACTATTTCAATCTTGTGGAGCTCAGAACGCTTTCCGTTCGGGTCCTCGTTTGCTGCTGACTGGTGATCACTGCAGACATTGTAATGGAGAAGGAGCTTTAGCCCATTTGTTTGTCTCGTTAAATTTTAAATCGTGTAATTTAATAATACATGCATTTTGTGAAATTTTATTAAGATTCTCTTCATCGATTTTCTATTTGAATTACTACATTACTACTTAATATCCGATTTTATTTTCAAAACTGATGCAAAAATGGTTGTATTGACTGTAATGGTTGTAATTGGTTGCAATCACCATATTGGATTTTGACCGCACGCCGCCATTTTAGATAAGGATTCGCCATCTTGAATTTTATAGTGGGGGTTTGATACATTTTCAAGAATACACTCTAAAATATCTTTAATTCTACACGGACGATGAGATTGACTCAAAGTTTAGTTGAATTCGACTGAATTTTGCAAAAAGTGGATTTGCTCACAAAGTGAGTCAAATTTTCCGAGCTATTCAGAAAAAAAAACTTCTCGAATATAAGGAAAATCGACGAAAATTTTACTCAGTGGTGTAGCTATGTACTAAGAGATTGAGTGAAACCTCTCTCGATTTGCTTTATATTCGAGAAGTCTTTCCTGGAAAAGCTCGGAAAATTTTACTCTGTGAGGAAATCCACGTTTTGCTAAATTCAGTTGAATTCTACTCAATTTTGAGTCGATCTTATCGTCCGTGTATGTCATCAATTCAATTTACCGTTTTTGACAATAATATTTGAACTAGCGTATTTTACAGCCTTTATTTTCAATAATCGTAAGATCAAGGCGGGAGAATTTTAAGAATTCCGAAGAGTCCTAATTTGTTGCACTTATCTGGTTTATAATTTTGAAAATATCATCAAGAATAAAACATATTTGTAATGTTCAATAGCATACCAATCCGATAACAAATCAAATTACTACTTACCCTTCAACCGGGTCCAGCTCCTCGACCGAATCTTGCGAATGTGCTTCAACTTTGACATCCAGTTTATCACCATCCAGAATTCTGCTTCGCAGTTCTCCATCATTGTGCCTAAATTCCTCCAGATTTTCCTGTATTCTTATCAGGGTAGTGGCACAGGGTTTGCAAATGTTCGATGGAAGCCCATCACCTTCGCTGACATCAATCCGAACGACATCCTTTATGATCACAAGCAGCCGCTCGCGTTTGTACGCCTTGAAGATCGGTCTAACGCGCAGCTTCTCCGACGAACACATACGGCAAATTTTCTCCAACTTCATAGTTTCATTCGCAATGTTTTACTTCATTAAAATTCGATCAAACAACTTTTGTTTTCCAAACTGAAACGAATGCCGCAGACGCGAGTCTTATTTACTGTCACCAAGAGTTTGTAAACACGCCATGGGACGACCTCACCCGGAGAGAAGGCCGAGATGCACCTAGAGTCACTCACAAGCCACTCATCACGAACATGCGAGCACTCACGCTGTTCACCAAATGCACTTTTTCCTATAAGGCACACAGGCATGGTAAATTGCACCGAAAGGAAAACCGTGGAAAACGTCAATAATTCGTGAGTTTTCCATTTTCACCAGTGTTGTTTTCATGGTGGAAAATTTTCTCTTTGAAATTAGCAGTAAAAGCGAGCGCTTTTCCTGATTTTTTTGGACCTATTGCTAAATTTATCTTGAGCCTCGCTGCTTAGTGTTGCAGTAACGTACCGGAAGTGGACAAAGGGCGCGAAATTCGATTACATATGGACACGTATTTCAAGCTAAATTAACTGTACAAGCGAGAAAAATTTCTTCTCTTGACAGTTTTCACTTCCCACCCCCATAAATTTAGCTGGTACTCGTATTACGAGTCGCATACAAATAGGAAACCCAGACTGCGTGGGACGATGACGACGTCGTCCTGAACGGGATAACGAACTGTTTTGCCACGGTCACAGCCTATCAGTATGCCTGTTGGGTTCGCTAAAGATTTCATTGTTTGAGAAACTTGTTATCTAATTTGATAAAAATGTCCATCGAAATCGAGGTCAGTGAGTGTAGCGATAATCTCTCCCAGAACATGGACGACTATTGCGAAGAAAAGATTGAAGAACCGTGTGGAACATCCCGAGGTCTATTTGTAGAGAATGACCAGATGTTGCGAAAGGCTGTATCCGACGATGAATTTGATTTCGATTCAGCATTCAGTTCCGAGTCGAACAACATGTTAACGGATGAGAGCACCAATGAAAGTGGTGCAATTGGAAACGATGAAGCCTTCGAGGAAAATGAACGACTCCGATCGTTAGAGGACGAACACGAAGCACTATCCTCTAATTTGATCGCCCTCACGTCACACTTTGCTCAGGTCCAGTTAAGACTACGCCAGATTGTAGAATCTGCACCGGAAGAGCGGGACAACCTTCTGAAGAACTTGGAAGAATTTGCCTTTCTGGGAATACCGGAAATGCAACAGAATCCAGTCAAGAAAAACATTCCGGGAATAGTAGCAGACTTGGACAGGAGCCCAGAGTCAGCCGAACATCTGCGTGAGAAACAACATGCCTTGATCGATCAGTTGAAAAACCAACTAATTGACTTGGAACGGTACGCCTATGAATCTGGAGCGGGAATTCTCCCTCATACGATGCTGCTCGAGAAGCAGAAAGTCATTATCGATGAAATCAAGAACAAAATCAACCTTAACCTGAACGAGCTGGATTTACCGCAGCTTACTACGGAAGACCTGCGAAACCAGGTGGACACTGCGTTAGATGAACAGCTGGTTAATCCACTCAAAATGAAGGAACAACTAGTATCACAGCTCAAAACGCAAATTCAAGACTTGGAACGCTTTATCAGTTTCCTGCAGACGAACGAAAAGGAAGAAATCAAGAAACGATTCTACCAGCAACAAGAACTGGCCAAAGCCGAAGCAGCTGAACGCACCGAGGCCCAAGAACGTGCCAAGACTCGCTCGATTGCTTCCCATAGTAAGCCGGAAGTGAAAGCTAGCAAAAGTTTCGAGGAAAGAGACACGGCTAAGCGGGAGACGCTAAACAGTAAGGCGTTTGGCCTGATGGACAAAGCCAGTACGATTCTGCAGATGTTCGCTCTGTCGCAGTTCAACTGCGGTAGCGACCGCAATCGGGAACAATTCCAACGAAACATGATGAAACGCTCCAAAGAGAACTGTTGGGGAGATGTCCGGGCAAAGTTGGAGATTGACGTGCAGGAAGTGGTTTCGCTAGCAATGGACATGCAAGAAGATTTTCAGCTATCGGAAACGGCAAGTGAGTGTGGAGAGCCACGAACAGTGAACAGTCGTAAAAATTACGAGCTTACAATGGTTGTACGAAAACAACTGGCTAAAACAATCCAAGGACTGATGCAACATGGGCTGAGAGGAATAACGGACAGCAGTGGAAGCCTAGTGCCATTCATATCCGGTTGCTTTTCCGGGGGTGGATATCACAGTCAGAACCAAGCGAAGGCCAGTGAAGAGCGATTCTACAATGGAGACACGAGAAGGAGAAGTACAGGAGGAATAGCTAAGGCAGCAACAACCCCACCGAAGCGTCATTCAAACTCGGTGGAAGAAGAGGAAGAACCCATAGAGATGAATCTGTTTACGCAGTTGGACGACAATGAAGACGAGGAGGTGACTTACTCTAGTTCAGACGAATCAGAGATGCATGCATGGGAACTGTTACTAATGTACTACAATATCAAAAATGGTGATAGATATAATTCTACACCAGCAAGAAAGCTTTCCGAAAGCTTCAATCTAGATTTAGTGGAAGGAAGGCCACAATCTAACAAGCAGGTGAGATATTGGGCTTTAAAATTACTTAGAAGTTATTTACGCGAAATGTTAATTTGAATTTAAATTTCAGAGTCTGCTGAGCACTATTGGTACGATCATTGCTTTACACAGCCCCTACAAAAGAAGCTACAACTCGCAGTTCAAAGCTTTTATCTGTGCTGCACTGAAGTAAGTCAACATCAAAGTTTTGAACTGAATTTCCTATAACCAATCGGTCACTCACGTTCTTTTCCAGCGCCCAAAAGTTGACTCAATGGCTCCATCTGATCTACCAATGCAAGGAACTTGTTAGTTCGTATTACACCTGCTGGAGCTACGTAGCCAATACAGGATTTCGCGATGCGCTGAAGACTCTAGATCGCCTCACGCAGTATCGATTCGATCTACCGGTGGATCTTTCCATACGACAATTTAAAAACATCAAAGACGTTTTCATGTAGAATATCTCTCCTTCGAGACGCTTTCTCTTTCTTCTAATCTAGTCTTCTGAATCAACAACAAATATTTAGGAAAAACTCGCAACATTCCAAAACACTGCTAAAGAAACCCGTAAACATTCCGTTCAATAACATTGCCTGAAAGTCTATTGTCTAGTCGAAAGCAACACGAGAACCCTGTTAGGCGATTACCAATTTGAACACATTCCAAATAGGATCGTCTTTATTTTTCCTTTGAATTAACTAAACACCTGAGCTTAATACCATCAGACACAACCAGCACAACTATCAAATACTTATCAATCAACAATCATTCGAAAACAACTTCTTTAGATGTACCAATAACAGCTTAAAAATGCACTGAACATAACCCAAAGTCTAATAAGAATAATTTGTTGAAAACAGTATGTGAAGATCAATATAGGGCCCTATTATATAACACGAGTCGAGCGTCACAGGTTGACTCGACTTACATAATAAGGCCCATAGAAGATCGCAGTTAAAATGTAGATTGTTACAGCTGAGAAGGGACGGAGCAGATGTAGTTGTGTTTTGCGTATATTAAGCTTTATAATACTAACCCAAAGAACTATATCAATATTGAACAATAATGACATAACGATCAAAACTTAAGCAACGTTAGAACGAGAGAAAAAAAACGTGAAACTGTTAACTACAACTGAATTGCATTGAGTTTGGAAAAGATGACATTATACCGGGCCGAAGGGACGTGTTAGTAAATGAACAGCTAGAGTTGCCGAATAATAAAAGTACCAATGAGAAACACACATACATGACATTTTTCTAATTCGTTTTTAGGTAAGGCTCAACATTCTTAATAAAACTATACGAAGCCGAAGGTTTTAGAAAACAATTAATGAAAGCACTTTTTCGAAGCTTGTGTGGAGTGCTACAGAATTTTTCATTCGCTTTCTATCCAAAAGTATGTTATAGTTGTACCCAACATTAGGTGAATATGATTATACTCAACGTTAGGTTCTTAAACTTTACTACCGTAAAACGGGGTATCTTTGATTATGCGGGTAACTTTGATAGTATAATATAAAGAATAAATTTACTAGCTGTGCTTTTTCCAAATAAGAAACATTGGTTCCATATTGTAGCTTAGGATATTTCCGTTGATATGGTATATAGTTTTTATATAGTATGTGTTACATGTTTTACAAAAATATTAAAAAAACATTTTCGTGTTTTTCACTTTTTTGAAAAAGCACTCAAACCATAAATTATGAAATGTATTTCCGATACAGCCATCACAAATTCAATGTTGTATTCTTATTGCTTATGAAGTTTTCTGATTATATACTCATTCAAAGTTTCATATTTAAAGAACTAAGTTGTTTAAGTTTCACTGATTTTTTTCCAACATTCATCGAGCATTATCAAAGTAATCCCAAATCAAAATACTGAAGTTCGGGCACAAAACTAAAAAAATAGTGCAAATGCTTTAATTTTCGTTCAACATATTACTAACGAATTAACTCTTGGATCCTCAGTACTTGTGTTAAAAATATAAAATTTGAAAAACAGCCATTGCTGTAAAAAATATTTAGAATATACTTTAAAAAATTATCAATGTTACCCCGTTTTACGGTACCCCTATTTTTTTTTACCGTGTAGAGAGGATCTAGTATAAGAGAGGTCCGGACTCAAAACAAACTGCTTTGGCAACCTATGCCTAGGTGATTTCTAGCAACACTGCCAATGTAACCAAGATAGGCACTGCTCGATTGGCTCTTGCTTTGACAGTTTGTTTGGCTCATCTCTTATACTAGACCCTCCCTAACTGTTATTCCTTTATCAGTACCAGCTGCATGGCATCCTCTGCGACCCTTTTTCGCTTCCTCTCCAGCAGTGTTGGCAAAATCATCAATCAAATGATATTTTCCCCCTCTCATACGCTTTCAATATCATGTGTGACATTGGAACAAAATATCATGCTTGATATTGATTTTACAAGCTCCTTTGATATTTTGAGACTATTTACAATGTGCAAAAATCAAACTGAGAGTTGACTCGACACAAAAATGATTCTGTTGCACATCGTTTTCTTTGAAAGGGAAAGCTTTCTATTTTTACTCTTCGGTGATGGCAGACACGAGGCTACCATGTAGTAGCAACAATCAATACGAAACTAACCATTTTAAATTGGCTCACTACTTGACTAGCCTATTGGTCCCAAGCAAATCGACTAACGTAGCGAACAAATTCCAGTACTACATTATGTTTGTTTTAATTCGCTATGAAAGTTTGACAGATAAAATGAGGGGTTAATGGATTTTCCTAAGTTTCGAGGGGTGAATCGATTAGCTAGGGACTAGTAGGTCCCGAAGAAACGAGCTCAACTTTTTGGCTCAGCTCTGGTACTCTCTTCGGTCCCAAGCTAATCAATACACCCCTCGAAACATAGGAACATCCTCGAGCCCCTCATTTTGTGTCAAACTTCCATAGCGAATCAAAACAAACATTGTGTAGTACTAGAATTTCGACTAGAATGGAGTATGTCAATCGATTTGCTTGGGACCAATAGGCTAGTCAAGTAGTGAGCCAATTTAAACTCGTTATAGTTTCCACCGGTTGCTAATCTAATACCCTGATGTTCTGCAGGCCACTTTTTAGACTACAGACCCAGTCTTGGGTAATTACCTCGGTAATGACCTTCTGCTACTTCAAAGTCATCCAAAAAATCATCAAATTTCTAAAGACACGGTTAATATTTTAGTATCTTATACTTATATTGGAGAAAACCGGGACTTTGCGGAGCAAAATAAAAAAAACTACTTCGTTTGATGTTTCAGACTGGAATGATCTTCCTCTTTATTTTTCATACGATCAGACCTTGTCGACCTGATCCAACTGTCATACGTAACATCGTATGGTGTTTTCGTTTAACGACATTTATCGTTTGCACTCTAAATTAGAACACATCAGCTCTTCTCTCTTCAGAAAGCATTTACAATTCAATTCACTACTACAACAATTTCTTATAATCTTCTTTTTCAAAGCTTCATACAATGCAAATCAGAACGTAAAAAATTATTACAAATTAATATACAAATTCTTCATCAATGTTAACCTTTCTTATTCTTTTAGAACGCCTAGGGGCGAAATCTGTTGACTTTTCAACCTCACTTTTCAAATTCTCGAACACGTATTTACGTTTCCTGCCTCTTCTAACTTCTTCTTCAGTAAAACCATGGAATGCCTCGTTGCTGTCACTTGACTCGGGTTGCAATTGTCGTCGACTTAACAACACATTTGGCTTCCCAGAGAAGTCCCGATCCTTACATATGCGAAGCTGTCCTCGATGCGCCATTGTTGGCACGTTTCCAATTCGAATCTGGAAAGTATTGCGAGAATGCCTTTTAATATAACTTGCCTTAAGCCATCTAGCAGTATGATGGGGGCTGTGGTTTTTATACCACAACTCATCCCCTTCCATCAGATATTCGAAAGGATCTTTTATAGCTTTCGGGACATTCCCGCAATCCTTTGAGTTGACATCATCATGCATAGGTACGAGTTGTTTGTTATTAGTAATATTCTTATCATGCGAGGTTTCCATATGCAAGTGTCTTTTATAATGGTTCTTTGGATTTAGCAAATCTAAAATTGTTTTTGGTTTGTATGAAAATATGATTTGCGATGGAAAATTCCCATCCATTGTTAGGCAGTTGTTTCTATAATTAATTAAGAAAAGATTAATCTGGACCTCCAAGTCTAAATGCGAAAAGTCCGGATCTAGAAGGAACTTCTTTAATACATCTTTTACGGTTCTCACCAACCTTTCACCTTGATGGCAACCTTCCACAAAATGGCCAAATGTCCTTGTAAAGGACAAACACTTTTGTAACAGCGAGATTTACGGCAAAACTGAGCCGGCAAGGAAACAACTGCAGCGAGCAGTAAATTGGTTGCGAACTTCCCGTCGGCTTTGTATCAGGCGTCCTTTGATGCCACCGCTATATGCTACGGGTAGCTTTATCACCGACGAAGCTTTATTCCACCGCATAAAGTGGAAAACGAGAAAACGGCCGTATTCACCACTAACTTCACTTTATCACTCGTCGTCAACTTTAGTATCTTATACTTATATTGGAGAAAACCGGGACTTTGCGGAGCAAAATAAAAAAAACTCTACTTCGTTTGATGTTTCAGACTGGAATGATCTTCCTCTTTATTTTTCATACGATCAGACCTTGTCGACCTGATCCAACTGTCATACGTAACATCGTATGGTGTTTTCGTTTAACGACATTTATCGTTTGCACTCTAAATTAGAACACATCAAATATCATGAAAGTATAAAAACAAATCTTTGAAGATTTTTTGGAATTTATTGAAGATATCGTTTTTTTTTAATAAATTGAACTGTCTAGAAGATCTAGAAAGTCCCATGATAATCATATCAAATTCTTAATATACTCTTACATTTTCCTGATGTTAGTATAACTTCCCATACGTTCTAGAAATTCTCTCGGAGCTTTGATGAAGATTCCGGAATTTCTCGAAATTTCTGTAAACTTTCTGCAATTTCCTTGAAATTATTTGAACTAAAGACGAGAGAAGCTTCCCTGTGGCTCACGATTCAGAAATGTCTTGGTTCTAGTCTAAAATAAATGGAACTCTCCTAAATACTTTTAAATATTTCTGGAGCTTTCTGGACCTCTGTGAAGACTTCCAAATATTTCAGAAGCTTTTATAAGTTCTCTGAGGGTCTCAATACTTCCCTGAAATTCTCAGCACGTCTTAGCGATTCCCGTATTTTGTTTTCCTGAAGAACATGGAGCTGTCCTGCATTTATCTAATCTTAAACTCCTCCAAAAGTCTGGATTGCAGTTACGGGAACTGCCCTTAATATCTCTGAAATTCACTAACGATCTCTAGATCAAGCTTTTCTAAGGTACTTGGGACTTCTTAATAGCTCGGTTAAAGCCTGGAAAACCTGCCTCGAGTGATTAGCTTGTTCAACCTGCTTATCTCAATGAACACCCGTTTGATCCGGTTGACTATCTTCTACATTTTTGAGACAAAATATCCAATTGTAGAAAATTTGTGTTCACCAAGCGATGCTTGTAGATGTGCTTCACATGAGTTTTCTATGGGCACTCACACCATCAAAGCATGCTGCTCATGTAAAATACAGACAAAGCTTGCCTTCTACCGCTAGGAGCGCTAATATGGAGCCACTTTTGGATCTGAAGTTCCATTTCTGTTCTGTGACTCAAAGTAAGTTGGATCGACTGAATGAACGCAAACAATAAAATTTATAGCAAGTTTCGACCATCAAAGGCAAAGGCACAGAGCTCGAAGAATATTTCTGTAAAAACTTGTGTAAAGATTCCTATTCAACCGGCGACTCACCCACTTAAAAATTCTTTTTGACAACCTGAAGGCGCTGGTGTTGCACAAATTACACTAGACACTAAGTGCTGGTAGCGACAATTTTCAACAGAAAATGTATCGATACTAGCGCTTAATTGGTCGAAAGTGGAAAATTTATAGAGGAAATCAGGAGATGCTAGCGCCACGTAACGGCGATGTTCCCACTTGTTTTACACAAGTTTCTGACCGACGTTGGATGTCTGTTCTCTGTGGCAAAGATAAAGATATGCAAAACCAAAATGGGTCATGCATGGATGATGCACTAAAACAAAAATCATGCAATTTGATCGATATCAAAACGTCTTTACCATTTTCATCCACTCGCCATCTGTGAGCCAATCGTCACTTTGATTCTTCAATATTGATGCAGGCATCGAAATTCAACGTCAACATTTTTGTTCGAGTAGGATCAGGATCCATCGGATTAATAAAAGGCGGTTCACTTCAATGTCAATTATATTTTATTGATGGCAGTCACGAAAATCTAATCTTAACTCACACGTTCAGTTGACGGTGATACAATGTTCACCAAAAGTACACTGGACGTTCGCTATCTGAAAGACTTTTAGCTGAAAGAAGTTTCAGTTAAAGGACTTTTATCTTTAAAATACATTTCAAACAAACATTTCAAGAGGATGAACATTGATGCATTTAAAATGGCTTTAACAGCTGGTTTGACACGTGGAATGCATTTCAGTTAGCAAATACCGTTCGCTAAATGGAAAGTAAACATGTTTCAGTTAGCGAACGTCTAATATACATGCGTTTAATTTAAAGCATTTAATGAGATTTCGCTCTACTTAAGAAATGATAATATGTATAATAGGTTGAAAATGGTGCACACTCAGTAAGAATCATAGAAATACAGTATACTGGGCTACGTATGAGCGATTTCTCAACTTGCCAAGATAGTCTTTACCAAAATTCCGCTTGCTGTGCATAAGTCTTAGCCGTTTCCTGATCCATTCGATGTGCCTTCATCAAATGTTCTCCCAACTTGTAGCTATCCCTGCGAAAATAAGAGGCTTCTATACAAACAACGCTCCTTTCAAGAAAAATTCGCACTTCAACATACCGATATCCATTCTTACACATTGGACAACGAACTTTCTGTCCAGTGTGCTTAGTCATGTGCAACCGCAGATGACTGGGTCGACTAAACGCCTTATCGCACAGTTCACACTTGTGCTTTTGATAGTTCTCTTCGTGACTTTTCATATGCCGCTGCAGGGTTTTTCTCCAACCCATACTTTTGCCACAAATTGGACATGTAAATGTCCTTCCTTCATGGACAGATTCCATATGCGCCTTGAGGGCGCGCTTACGATTGAACGTACGGTCGCAAATAGTGCATCTGATGTCGTCCTGCTCTTCACCTCTGGCGTTACTACGCTTAGGAGCTCCGACTGTTACACGGCTCACGGCCTCGACGTATTGTTCTTCGTTTAGTGGATCTTGAGTACCAACTTCTAGAAACTCAATAGTATCTTCGGAATCTCCCAGTGATTCTTCTTTTAGCGATATAATCGCCTCTGGCATTTCGAATGAGTCTTCCTGGTTCTGGTCGTCCTCGTCCTCTTCTACCAAGGAATCCACAATTTGCTGGGATGTGCCGAAAAATATTTTCTGCAGCTTTTCCTGGGCTTGCTCGCAATGCTTAATGAAACTGGTTGTAACTTTTATAATCTGAAGACAATGATCACATACTCCATTGGGAAACCCCTCCAGAAAGCGACCCCTTCCAAGACATAGTTGCAGTAGGTCTTCGGACTCTACCAAGTCTTCCAGATGATTTTTGATGGGGTGTTTCTGTTTCTTACCACAGAAGCGGCAGTAAATTACAAGCAAATTGCTACAATCTGTTTGTGGAATCGGTTCCGTATAGTTCTCATGTACCGCAGAGATCACGAAAGATCCCGGTAGGTTAACGGATGGCACTACGTTACTCATGAGACGTAGATCTGGATGACTATTGTCAAGCTGATCCTTATGGAAATGTAGAAAACAGATCTTAAGGTCCCGCGACATTGAAGCATCTTTTGCTTCATCATACCAGGGCGTTGTTGTCCACCATTGAGCTAGGCTGGAGTTTTTAGCGACGCTGAACATCACACTGTTGCGAAGCTGCGAACGACAACCAGGTATGGCACAACACTTGGACATGATGACTTTCTCTCTGATGAAACTTAGTAATTTCACAAAACAATTAAATAATACGGGGATTTTATGAACTTTAGCTCCACAAATTATTTCCACCTGCGAGAAACAAACGCTAATAAAGGTGTTTATTTCTCAACCACTGTTGATCACTGTCAAATCGTAATGAAGCAAAAGTTGGTTCGACCAACAATTGAAAAGGGTCTATCAGGTTATGTTTACAAAAATTTGTAACCCTTATAAATATCCTCTTTAAAACCGAAGGCCACCCACGCAAATCAATGGCATCATCTTCAAAGTCTCCCCTATCCAATTATGTCGTTGGTTTGCTTTTGTGGCCTACGATTAGCGAGTATAAAGAAAGGTTGCTACCCATTGGATGCGACAAGTTTTGTTTACAAAAGCTGATAGGCCCTTTTCAATTATTGGTCCAGATATGTTTCAGCCGTTTAGTTTTTACGCGAGCAAGGTTTAGGATTTTCAAGATGCTTGAGTGTGTTGTGATGACGTCACTGGGGAGTTCGTCGTATCTTTGAGAGCGGGGCAATGTTCATGAAAATTAATGACACCAACAGGTAGAGGAATGTTTTCTCTACCAGCATTGTTGATTTGGAGGAGTGAGCTTTTATTTGCGAGAAATCGACGGCTAAAGTCATTGTTTACAAAATCAATTACGCCCCTTTGAAATGTTGGTACTGAAATGTTAATTTTAGTGTCAATTTTTAGTAAACATTGCCCCAAATTTTCGTCAGTGCCTAAGAGAAAGAGGAGACTAAAGAGTCTGAATTCATAAATCCAGGCTCTTTAGAGGAGACAATACGAAGGCGAAAACGAACCACTTTTCTGTCAAACGCGAACTAGCTCGTGATTGACCGATTTGAAGTGCGTAAAATAGAGATAGAGATAGATATTCCCCCTATTCTGCGAGTCACGTGACTCTCTCTCACCGGTGAGGTGACAATAGTCACCTCACCGGTGACAGAGAGTCACGTGACTCGCAGAATAAGGGGGATTGAGAAATCCAACTTAAACTCATGCGCGCCTGGTGGCAAGAATAAGCACTAACCGACGGTGATAAGTCTGTGACAGCCCTTGAAAATTTCATTGATTGTTTGCAAAATTATTTAATTTCAATGTAATTTCATGAAAATTTCTTGTCAGCATGGATGAATCTTGTACAAAATGCATAAAACTATTTTGTAATGCATTGTCCTTAAATAAAAAGCTACTTCAAGACTTATAAATTACTGAAAACATGTTAAGGTTTGAAATCATCTGCCGATTAAACAACAGACAAAGTTGGCCGACTAAATCAATCGACGAAAAACTATTAAATAGGCCGATTGCTCGGTGTAGCACCAGACGAAAAACGATTTAATCTGCTGATTAATACACCGACTGAAATTAATTACAAGTGGCAATAGATTTAGTCGGTTGATGAATCGGGTGATTTGGATGATGTTTGTTTATTTGGAAGATATTTTCGAAATCAAACACTTTAAAATTCAGCATTTCATACCATTATTAAGAGCACTACTTTTTTGCTCGGATCATGCTTTGACTTCCACAGAAACTCGCTAGAATAAATAGAAAATAATAGTTTTTTGGTTGAAATTTCAAAAATGTATTCAGTTTGACACATTATTTCGAACTTATCACCGCTGCGATTGCAGCGTCACGGTGGTCGATTGAAACATGGATTTGTCAATAGGTAGATATAAAAGAGTAAGAAGCCAGTTGTCTCCTCTTCCTCTTAGGTCAGTACATGAACTCAAATTCATCGATGCACGCCGTGCACTCGTCCATAGGGGCCGTTCATACATAATGAGACAATTTGGAAGGTAGCGGGGCTAATTACAAATTACGTCCCCACGGTAACTGAAAAAAAAACACGAGTGCTGACCGGTTGATACTATTTCCGCAGTCCAATTCATCTCGGCTTGTCCCACTTCGTATATTAAAACTCCACCTTGATAGTACCATACTGCCATTGAATGATCGAGTTAAGTAGTCTACGTTGGTCTCACCTTTGATAGCAAGTTACTGTTCCGTTCCCATGAACCAAACATTCAGAAATGGTGGTAAGCTACAACCGGTATTATCCTCGGATTAAATCCCGATCAAGAATGTCCAGCTGTTTTGAAGTCGACATCAGTGTTAATTAACACGACTCAAAGCAAACACTGCAGGTTATCCAAACAGGGACGGTATTGAAAGTTAATCCGACTTGGAGCTTACCGCCACAAGTGTTACATTTTGATTAGGTTGCTCTATCCACTTATCAACAGAAAGTCCACCCTTTCCCTTTAAAACAAGCTTGCTCAGCTGCGCTAAGTGCCATCAACTCAAACTCATAAGGATCCAGAACAAGATCCTTACCGGATTCGAATTTCTGAGATTCATCACCTGGCTGGTCCTCAGACGCTGGAGGAGCAGAATACCGTCATCCCCGAAAAGTTCAGAGACGCCTGTCTAAGATCATACGCGATCTTTTTAATTACGTTATGTAGATTAATCATCATCAAATTCTTTTTTTCAATTCGATCAAAACCATTTAAATATGCCTTCACGGGGGAAAAATTTAAACTGTCCGGCTAATTCAATTATTGATATGTAACACCTTAATCATTGGAAATAAGTTATTTTACTAGTACTTTACCATGGATTTGATTGAGTTGAAGTTCTCCAGATGCATAAGAATGTGCGTGAGACCACAGGAATCATGTTTAAGTAGTTATTATATCGCGGGGTTCCTTCTTAATATTTTCTTCCTCCTTTTCGACATTAGACTGTAATTTCGTGAGATTGATTTGGAGATTGTGGGTGGCACTTCACTCAAGGCACTCACTTACACAAACTCCTTTTGATTCACCTATCTAGCTATGATCCATCCTTGGTTCAAGCCGAAAAGGACACTCACGAGTTGTTTACATCGCGTCTTTTCTTATACTTTTAAGTTTTTGTTTATGGCAGACGAAACTTTAAAAAAATAATTTTGTTGCTAAAATCAGTTTTAAATAGTTCAGTTTTCTTTATTATTTCTGTTGATATTCTAAGTATGGAAACACCAACGAATGAAGGTTCTGAAGAATCTGATAGCTCAATCCCGGAGGGCAGCAAAGAACAGTTACATAGTGACAGTGCCAGCACTGAAACCGGTGAGCATTCTCAAACCGGCGCAGATTCAAAAACAGGCAAACGACCCGTTCGCTCCCGGAAAACAACGACCACCGCCGATCTGATTCAAGCTTTCAGTGTCGCCAACATACCGCTGACTTCACTGAAAATTCGTGGACTAGTACAATACTTGCAAGCCAACATCAGTGATCCGGCGGCACCTTCTTCGAGCGATCAGCTGAAGCGTTGCTATCAGAAGTATATGAGGTAAGATCGACGAACCGCCCGGAGTTCAGTATAGTCCTGGAATGATATATTTTGTTTTCTAGTTTAAATAAGGACCTGGTTTCGCCAACGTTTTGCGCGGTGCAAGGTTGCAGTACCTGGTCCCACAAAAACCACAATTATACGATTTTTCCGTTCCCCGACTGTAAGGAATCCGTCAAACTGTGGAAACAGGCTCTGAATTTGACCAAGGCTCGTAAAATGCAAGGTGTATGTGAGTTGCATTTCGATGAAGATTTCCTGATTCGGGAAAGTGAGGATCACCATGTTACACTGATGCCCGGTGCGATACCGAAGAATTTTCAAGGACCTATCAAACCATTGCCGTCCACTAACCATTGCCGAATGTGTGGCTTATCGGTGAAGTGTCCCATGACAAACACCGTTTCAGAGCTGCAGTTGGACCACCGTCTGCGGCCAGTATTGGACATGTGCCTAGAGCTGAACGATTCTAAACATAGCTTACTACCGGATACCGTTTGCGACGGGTGCACAAAGATGGTACGGTTCGTGGGTAAATTCGCCGAGACCTGCTGGGATGCTCAGCAGCAACTATTAGGTCTCTATGCCGGTGGAATGGGGGGTAAGAAAGTTCAACCGTGGAAGCGGCTCTATCAATACGTGGAGGATACGGAGGAAAGAGGTGTTATCCAAACAGAATCACCATACCCGTCACTATCAGAACAGGTGGTGTTGTTAACAACAGAAGAACAAGTCAGCGAAGTAGAATCTAAAGAAGCTCCACAAGATCTATCAGTTAAATTCGATCCCGATAATGATGCACCAAGGCTCATATCAGTAAAAGCGGAACCCTTGGATAGCTGCAATTCTATCAACGATGAAAACGTACCCGAAACAAGCAACCAGGAACCTCCGCGGAAGAAGTTCAAATCTAGAGTCCAACAGATCGACATGAGCAGTGGTCGGTATAAGAAATACGAGTGTGAAACTTGCTGGCAGCGATTGGCTAGCCAAGCGGAGCTGAACACGCATACCCGGAAACATGAACGCGAGCGGAGCGAGGGTAAATCGATGGCGGATGCAGTGCTCACCGGCTGGTCTATGGACACTATCAAGTGCTTGCAATGTAGGAAAAAGTTTAAAACCACAGAGGAACTGAAGGCGCACACCGCCCAAGAGCACAAGTTCGAAGTATACTGTCCGGTGTGTGGAATAAGATTCAGGTATGAGTTTTCCTAACGGATACGAAAATAATTATTACTATTAGTTATTATTACCAACAGCAGAATGTTATTGCCGTATGTATTTTCAGAAACAAAGAAGTTTTGGAGCAACACAGGAAGCGAGCTCGCCGCTGTATTCTATATGATGCAGGAAGAATCCAATGAAATTGAATTATTGTTACTGTATCCATTCCAAAAGTGGCCCTTAAGATTACTAATTAAAATAATTAATTCAGATTTAAACAATGCGTTTGTTTATTAACGTCCGGGAAAATGCGGAAACCCATCTTAACAGGGCTGTTAGCAGTGTTAAACGATACAAATAGTGAATTGATGACCTAAATCAAATAAAAAATTGACTAAAATGTGGCTTGAAATCATCGACAAACCGACATGACACTTAATTCTGACTTATGCCCGAAAATCGTAAACGGCCGATTTAAATGTGCAGTGATCCAAACTGTCAAAACCATAGGATTTTTTGATCTAGATAAAAATAATTTGTCCAGAATAGATCAGACACAAACCAATTCATAACTTTTGTATACGGGTTCATGGCTTAGCTAAATATTTCCCGTGAATACGGAACCAGATGTCAGTAGTGTGCTTTGGTCAGAAATTTTATTGTTTTTGCTATGGTCATTCACGTCGGTTTGTCGGTGTTAAAATTACCATAAAAATTTGGAAAATAAAATCATGAAAACTGAATTTGTTCAAATCAGGGGGTTAAATACCGATTTTTTTCTCTGTACACATTTATAAAAAAAGGTTATTTTGCTACTAGATATTCAAAATACAACGTACATCGGCTCACCCCTCGTCCCACTGGCATCCCTGAACTTGCCGAATTAGTCGAGAAGTTTCCGTAACCATGTTGTTACAATTAGAGATAAGCTTTTTCATTCGTGAACTTTTAAACTACGCGGTCTCAATAAAAGAAGTTCTTTAGTTTTTGCTAAAACTGTGTTTAATTTCGTTGGTGTGGCCAACACTAGATGCCACTAGATAAACAACTAACAGCACTGTGTGACTTTCCTTTCTAAAACAGAGAAGTTTAACCACCGACAAACCGACATGACACTTAATTCTGACTTATGCCCGAAAATAGTAAACGGCCGATTTAAATGTGCAGTGATCCGAACTGTCAAAACCATAGGATTTTGTAATCTAGATAAAAATAATTTGCCCAGAATAGATCAAACACGAACCAATTCATAACTTTTGCATGCGGGTTCATGGCTTATAGCTAAATATTTTCCGCGAACACAGGGCCAGATGTCAGTAGTGTGCTTTCGTCAGAAATTGTATTGTTTTGGCTATGGTCATTCATGTCGGTTTGTCGGTGGTTTAACCATATTGGACTAGTTTTATGGTCTACTGAATTAATGTCTAGCATACATATATGTTTGCCGTAACACGTCACGTTTTTAAGATATCACTCTCTTTAAGATGCTGTACCACTTTACAGGCGTATATGCGATCAGCGAGCTTGCAACACGGATGAGCTTGGCGTATTGAAGACACCTCCTAATTGTTAGAATAACATATTATCACCGAAACGAGGGATGGAAATCAAGATAACGTTGAGAAATTAACCAAAAGTAACGTTTTCCTGTTCTCGGGTGCTACAGCGAGGCAATTAATATAAAATCAAAGCCATACGCTAATCCACATAGTTGCGCAAGTTGCTGATGTAAATACCAGATTCAAGAATATTATATGAAAAGCAGGTAAAAAGGAGCGATCGCTTGTTTACATAATCTGCCTGCACTTTTTATCTAGGATTATATAATGCGTTCAAGTTTAGTTAAACACATAAGTGGTTTAGTTTTTTCTCTCTGTTTATCCTTAAGGAAGGATATGATTTCATATTTAAACGTTAAAAATGTTCGTCATTTTAGCTTGTAAACCTCTTCAGATCCGAGTAGAAGAATTTAATAAATTTACAAAATAACCGAAAAATCCCAGATCTGAGAGGGCATAGTATATAAAAACACAAATTTACTTATAGAATAGGCAAAATAAGGCCAAAGTCCAACATTGATAGGGATATGAAAAATCCTGGACGAAACAAGTAAAAATTTTACATTAGACGTAAGATAACTTTGTACAAATTTTTGGAATAAAATCAAGTTCGAAGTACACTCCGAAGCAAATCCGAAAAGACTCTCGATATCTAGAAGTGAACACTTCTCTCCTTGACCGGAGAAAAAAGTAGCTACTAGACGTGTTTTTTTGGTAAAGTGTCGCAAAAGTGAAAAACTCTCTAAACCAGAGGAGCTTTTGGCAGCGACATTCATGCTGGCTCCAGAGAGGAATCTTGGAGGACGGCAGTGAGTCGTTTAGAAGTTTTGAGCTTCCAGTCAGGCGAAATCTGACAGTTAGAATTGTAAGTAGGCTTTGGTCGAAAATACCTTTCCGACATAAGGCTAGTTAAGCCAAGTGGGCTTTTGAGCCAGATACGCGTTAAGTTATAGTAAATAGCAGTTAGTCGAAATCTGACTGCAAAGAACTGCAAGTTGGCAGCTCAAGTGGGCCGTTGCGCCGAAACGTGAACTCTGACGAAGGTCAGGCAAAAAAACAGTTCAAGTGGGCCTATGACCGAAAGAGGGTCAGAAGATTAACAGAAGTCAGATCAGAATTGGCAGTTAAAAAGAAAGGAATATAAAAATACGGGCTCCGGCCTTAATTAGAGATAGAAACAGAGCGATGCGTGAATTATTGGAAGAAATTAACGAGCTGGTAGAATATGTTTAGAGAGATCAACGCTCATGTTAATAAAGTAAAGAAAGGAGATTTGTTCGAAAAAATGTTAAAAGAACCAGTTCCAAAAGGAAACTATTGTGTATCTAAAGAGTTTCCAGTGGTATTGTGGTGTGGTACTGCCAAGGAGGAATTATTCTGGCAGTGTATTAGCAAATTTCCTCTGCATCACGCCACAAAGAACTAAGTGAGTAGTTTACCAAGAAGAAGACAGCTAGTCGTAATACAAGCGACCATAAGAGAACCAGCATCATCAACATCATCACCATCATCATAATCATAATCATCATCATCATAATCATCATCATCATCGTCATCATCGTCATCATCATCATAGCTACATTAGAATCCAGCCTTCACCGACCGGTGGCCGACATATCACAACAGCTATACGCCAACCACCCACAAACTTTTAGTTCATTGCGTGCTCCCCAACGGTAATTTCTGACCGCTGCAGCGCATTAAAGTTACTCATCAATACCACCTCGCTTTTGTTGAGGGCTATCTGCAGCTTCGCTCCATGCATTAGGTTCCCAATCATGTCGACCGCCTCGGTCGCCAACATTTCCATCTATTCCAGCGTTTTGCCTGTTACCTTAAGACCGCCGACAAACCGACATGAAACCTAAACTTAACTCTTGATCGAGAATCCATAACGCCCGATTCAATCGATCTCTGTCCCATATTTGGCTCGTAGATCAGAACCCGGTTCTGGAATTAGCGTCGGCCTCCCAGCTGGAGCTGTTGAACGCATTCTTAACGTCGATCGTTGTTCCGTGCGAAACAAGCTATAGTAGCTTTCAAAACACAACGCAAACGATCGTCATTCAAACCACCCATCGTGGCAACAACGCACTCCAGGTAGAATTTTAAGGACACCGAACGAGAAGGGAGAAGCACTATATACTTCTCTTCAACATGCTGCTGCCTGCTGCTCGCCGTAGCGCACGGCAGGCAAGTATATAGGACCAAAAGTAGCAAAATACGATAGGACGACTGCTATAAAAGCGACACAGCCAGCCAGCGTTTTTTTTGAGTATTATTCCGACCACCATCCAAGTTACATCCAGTGAAGTAAGAAAGCAATCTGTAGAGAAATAGTGAACTAGTTAGAATAACAGTAGTGTTAAGGTGATAATTTGATTAGTGTGTTGAATCTTTCAATCCGAACGAAATACAGTCCACTTCCAACCCACCGGAGTTGGCCACGGTAAACGCGCCAACATAGTGGTCCTTCGAGCCGGATCCAGCGCCGCCCGTAGGAAAGGATTCGAAACCATCGCCACTCGACCGAGTGTATTCCGACACGCTTCCGTGGTGTGCCAACCACAACGTGTACCGCCAGGAGAGGAATCAATTATTGATCACCGCCGCTTCCGAATCCGATTCGCAAGTTTCAACCCGCCCGCCGAAGGATTTTTCTACAGAACCGAAACCATACGTACTCGTGCTGTGTGTAACGTACGACGTGACAACGAGTTCATTATGCCAGTGGATCGAACCCCGAAAGGTAAGCCTGCTGCTAAGGAAGCAGCTGAGGGCACAGGCAAGGAGAAGCAGCACGACGAGTCAGCAATATTCGAAGGATTTGCAGAATGGGAAATCAGTGCTGATTCCGAAACCGTGAAGGAAATAACGTCGCTTTCCCGCCAGCGAGACCAGGTCACCATGAAAGTAGTGCGTGTGCAAAGGGCGCTTGTTGCCGCTCGAAACTTGGTGAGCCTCTCACAACTCAGGACGTACATGAAGAATATCGATGTGGCCTACAACGAATACAGCGCAGTGCATAGCAAACTGGTTGCTATCATTCCCCAAGAAAGTTTTCAACAGCAGGAGGAAGTTTATGTCGCAATACAACCGATACAACTTCGTCCGCACGACCATCGATGAGCTAATCATGGCTCACGAAAATGCAAGTGTTCGTGCTCAAGCCCCGCAACAACAAATCATCGTCCAACAGCAACCGTTGAAGGCTCCTCCCACCTTCGATGGTGATTATGCCAACTGGCCGAAGTTCAAGGCCATATTCCAAGACTTGATGGCCAACTCAGGAGACTCGAACGCGATCAAGCTGTATCATCTGGACAAGGCTCTGGTTGGTGCAGCAACAGGTGCTCTGGATGCCAAAGTAATCAGCGAAGGTAATTACCAGCAAGCGTGGACCATTCTCACCGATCGCTATGAAAACAAAAGGATCATAGTCGAGACGCACGTTCGTGGTCTGTTCAACTTGCAAGGAATGTCATCCGGATCCCACAAGGAGATGCGACGTCTGCTCGATGAGTGCACCCGCCACGTCGAGAGCCTGAAGTATCTGGAACAGGAATTCCTCGGTATTTCCGATTTGTTTCTGGTTCATATGCTGACGACCGCCATGGACAACACGACCAGGATGGCATGGGAAGGCACACA